AAGGGGGGGGGGGGGGGGATGGAGTGATGTGAGTGAGAGAGCGTGTGAGTGATGATCCATCGCATCCCGGTCAATAAATATATTTACAGGACATAATGATAGTCGTTTCCAGAAATCACTGTTCAATGTTCGGACATCAACTGCTCTCTCGTATACACTACAGGTCACTGACATCAGTGATCGATACAGTTTTGAGTTTGGAAAAGGTTGTATCAATGATTTGTACGCCGCGGCGGTTGTAATATCCGATGGGGAACTATCAAATATCTGTCCTTTGATCAATGGTATAAGTGGTGCGTATCTCTATATTGTTGTTGAGATAGTTAGGAGATGAGTTAGGTTAAGGTTAGGAGCTCCCATTTACCTTCTCATTGAGTAATAACTCGTAGAAGTAACTTAGTAGAGTCGCATTGCCAGAGAACACTTGAATGATTATATATCGTGGAACATTGGCCATCTCTTCCAGGAGGAAGTTGGCCATGTTATGTGCTAGAATACGCATCTTTGATGGAAGGAAGCTAGTGTTTGATTGAATGATTGATGAGTTTGTGTCCAAGAATAGCTCAAACTTGAACCAAACACATACTGTCCAGTTGATAATGGAATGAGTGATAGAGTACAGAAGCCATTCTCTCTGTAGATTTTGGTGTAGCGCTCGAGTAGATGTGCCTTGGCATTAATCCATCCTATCAGTATTGCTAATGGATGCACCTTTAGACCAAACTTTGGTATAGGATGCACAGGCATCACAATCTTCCATTGACAATTTGTTGCTCCAAGTGGAGTGCATACTGTTGTTGTTATCGCTTTTGCTGTTGTTGTCGCTTTCGCTGTTGTTGTCGCTTTTGTTAACTTTGATGAAGTTGCAGTTGTTGTAGTTGCAGATGAAGTTGATGTAGTTCTATTATTTGTCTTTGAAGCATTGTTGTTGTTGGAATTTGTCTGTGTCTTTGTCTTCAATGTATTCATTGATAAGGATGATTATTATTATGGTATCAGAGTTATATATATATGTGATCATTAGTTCATTCAATCAAATAAATGTGGTGGTCACCAAAGAGGGGTGTGATCAAACGAGGGTAGTGTAAACGAGGGTAGTGTAAGCGAGGGTAGGGTAAACGAGTTGTTTTTTGGAATAAAGCAAAGTTCACTTGTCGAGTCGACAACTTTATGGACATAGTTGGAAGGTGCTACGTGACACATCCTATTTAGCTCCGTCATCAAAGGAAGGAAGGAAGGAAGGAAGAATGGATATAGTATATAGCCAATCCAACCAACGAGTTTCGTACTTATAAGTTAAAGAGAGATATAAAATCGACAATACTATAGATTGACATCGGGAAACGATAGCGGTATTCAAATATTCGTCGATTGGAACATCAACAGCTTCAAAGATATCGTGTCCAAAGTATTTAGGAGGTAAGATAATTCGTCCACATCCCTCTCCCATCACTCATTCAGTCAATCAATCAATCTGATTGATCTATGTTTATCATGAATGAATTCATAATAGATGTGACACGGTTCACATTCTTAGACACACTGATCAATATACGATGTCCTGTATCTCATCTTCAATCAATCAATCACCCCTTTGTGATGTCACATTGTCCTAAGATCATAACCACAACGACTCGAACCAGCCCATCACTCATTCATCTCACCTAAGTAATACAAAGTCATCGTGTTCGTAGGAAGGTTGTCACCGGTATGTTGGAAAATGGACATTTGGCGTTGGAGTTGGCGTTGGCGTTAACATTGACATCATTATTGGCTATGGGCTTGTCCATATGTCTTAAACATTTCCCCAAAGTTGATTGATTGATTGATTGATTGATGGATTGTTATTATGATTATTATTGTAAATGTATATAATATCGTTGAGCAACCAACATCAACAACATCACATCACATCATATCACTATCACTATCATTCTCACATTGTCCAATCATTGAACCTAACCAATCAACTTCACTTTAATGTGTACACTTTCCACACCTTTCAATCATAATCGAATGACTTGACTGATTGAGTATCCCGTATCCAGTCGCGTGTGTTGTGTCACAACCTTCTATGACATAACCACGAACCCTTACCCTAACCCTGACCTCGCACCACACCACACCACTTCATTCATTCACTATCACTCATTCTATCAATCATTCATTCATTCATTCATTATCATGAACCTATGTATACGATACATCATCATACATATACTACCTCTACAACACACATATACCATCACACTCACTCACTCACAAGTGTGTAGTTAGTAGTAGTAGCGTGGCCGTCACACACTCATGATCCCTCTCCTCGGCTTGGCTTCCTTCCTATCTCTTACACTCGCTGTCACTTTAAATAGACACAAAGTTAGGTGCTTCAGAAAGATAGATAGAGAGATTAGATAGTTAAGGAAAAGAGATAAAGAGACAAGCCTTGTCTTATTATCAATCATACAATCAATCAATCAATCAATCACATCATCATCACCAATCAAACTACCTCAACAAGAAACAATGAGAGGTAGATTCTTTAATATATTACTTGGCATGTTTGCAGTGTCCTTGTTGATGGTGTATCAGTATACATCGCTGACAAGGAACTCGGCTGTACGTATAGACAATGATGCCACGGCTCAACAATCAAACAAACAATATAACAATGCATGGTCCAGTGTGGACAAGTCCATAAAGATGTTGGCCCCAGACATCATGCCATCGAGGATTGGCAAGGGCGTGCGCCACATGGCCGACTCACCAGCAGAGCCCCAAAGACGTACGATTGTCGTCAACCCCAACATGACGCTCTCGTCGCTGCCGTTCAAAGTGATCTCCATCCTGCCGTCGGCCGAGGACCCCACCACGCCCTACGAGCTGTCTGGCGGCAACTCGCCCATCACCGTCATCTTCAATCGTCCAGTCATTGCCATTGGCACTGAGGACCTCGATCACCAGGACGTCAGCAGCTTCTTCAAACTGCGCTGTAACTCTGCGGTGCCAGTGGACGGCCGCTACCGTTGGGTGACCACCTCCATCGCCCGTTTCGACGTCAATGGCGCATGGCCAACCGATCTCAATTGTACATTTACGGTGGACCCTGCTGCCAAGACATATGACGGTGCATCATTGTCTGAGACCCCGACCCCCGTGCTCTACACCACGCCACAGTTGACGATGAGCATCTACACGGTCACCTCGGAGAAGTCTGACCAATTGACCAACAACACCTGGAATCCATTCACCAATGCCTTGCAACAGAATGGCTCATCGTACAATGGCAACTACCCAGAGGTACCACCCGACGGCATTGTCTACGTCACACTGAGCTACGACTTCCAGCTGGCTGCCGTTCGCACCAGTCTCAAGGCCATCCGTGTGTCTGATGGAGCTACCATTCGCTTCAACTTTGTCAACTGCAATCAATCTGGCATCAATACTGCCAGAGTATTCTGCATTTCCTTTGAGGACCAACTTGGTGTTGGAGAAGAATACTCCCTCATTCTTGCTGAGGATGCCAAGGTACATCCCAACGCTGGACCAACCTCTGCACCACTCTCAGTTGGTGTATACGGTCTCTTCCCATTCGTATTCCCCTTCCGGTAAGTCATCCTTTCATCTCTGTCTACCTCACATCAATGCTAACATCATCAATCAAACAGTGTATCATATCCAATTTCAGAGAACACTCAACTACTCCTACTTCGCCATGGCATCCTGGACATTGCATCAACAGATGTTGCCACATTGTTGAAGGAATCAATCTGCTTCACTCCAAGTCTGAACTTTACCCTCATCATCAAGGACATCACATCAATCCAAGTATGTACAATGAGACAGTCTCATCATCAATTCGGCCAAACACTAACACTCGCACGCAAACAACCAAAGATTGACGCATTGTTTGAAGCTGGAAAGAATTATACAATCAAAATCAATCCAGTTAAGACAATACTGGATGGATGGAGTCTGCCTCTGCTCAAGCATTCGGCTGACTTCCAGATGAGAGATGGACAGGCCTACGCGGCAGGACTCTCGCAGCAACCTCAGATATTCTCGCCATCTGACAACATCACTCAAACATACACGATCAATCAGAACAAGATGATCTCTTACGCATCTCTCGATTGTGCCAGTTCACCATACTCTGTTGCTGGATACCCCGTTACCAAGTCCAACATTATTGCCGCACTCACCAGCCTTGCCACTGGCAGACCCACTGCCGAGCTTGGTGATTCACTGGAGAACATCACATTGACTCAAGTACAGGACAACCAGCCCAAGGTCACATCACTCAATGCTAAGCGTCTCTGGCAATCCAGTGGCGTATTCCTAGAGTCACGCACATCCTACATTGACTACCAATGCCGCCCATACAACCAGAACCAACTCATTCAGGAGTCTGACGTCAGTGTTGCAGTACTGGCATACGGCCGCGACAACGCAATCGTCTGGGTGACCAACACAACAAACAACGCCAATGTCGAAGGCGCCACCGTCTACTTCTATGGTCGCCAGAACGACTCGATCGTTCTCAAGGGCAAGGCCAAGACCAGCGACAGCGGCATCGTGTCCATCCCCAAGAACTCCTTGCTCAATGCCATCGTCGTTGAATACGGTCCCAGCAACAGACTGTTCATCCATCAGATCAATCTCGAGTACGCCTACAATGCCGATGAGCAGCCAAAGTACCAGTTGTTCACGGACCGCGGCATCTACAAGCCTGGCGACGTCGTGTTGCTCAAGGGATACATCAAGCACACAAAGGCCCAACAGATGACCCACACGGTCACCGTCTACTGGCAGACCGAGGACTATGACCAAGTCACTATGAACATCACATTGGATCCAGTGTTCAACTCATTCGACACTAACTTCACTGTGCCAATCAACAACAAGCCTGGCCACACCTCACTCCTTGTCTCATCGCTCAACCCCAATGGCGACATCGTCTCATCCTCCTCGGCAGACTTTATTGTTGGCGACCCTAGACTACCAAGTGGCGTTGTCACACTCGCTTCCAATCAAACATTCATCGAGTATGGCGACTCAATGACACTCTCAATCAATGTCAAGACCACCAACTACCTTGGCACCGTGCAGAATGGACAGAATGTAACACTGCAGTACAAGTGGGCCAGCAACTTCTTTGACGATGTATACAAGGATGCCAGTGGACACATCAATGTGATCACCGACCAGCATGGAGAGGCTACAGCCGTCATCACACTGAGTGGCCAGACCTACCAATATGGTGACCGCATTGATGTCATTGCCTCCTACTTGGACCCCTCCCGCTCATTCATTCAATCGGAAACATTCACCCGATTCATCACCAATGGCGAATACCAGTTCAAGTTCAGCCTTGCTCAGTTTACCAATGCCCCAAGGGTCGTGCCCGGATCACCCCAAGGCATCTTTGTCGAGCTTTACCACATCCCAACAATGACCACTGTCAACGGCGTCACCGTGTCCCTCATGCTCACCCAGTGGGAGACTGCCTTTGCCAAGCGCACTGTTGCTACCACCGTCTCGACAGACGACACCCACAAGTACTTCTGCACCTTCACCACCAACTCTGAGTATATTGCGCCGCCATGCCACTTCACAATTGACGATCTTGATCCTCATGTCATTGTTGCCCACGCCAAGGATCCAAAGAACAACAGCATCTCCAACACATTCGAGGTCAACTATGATCCAGAGTTCTGGGCGCAGAACCCCTACAAGCTGTCCGAGTCTCTCAATCTCTACCCCGATCGCAACTACTATGACGATGCACATCTGCCCACGATCACCTATTGGAATCCATTCGCATCGGGCGAGGTACTGGCCTACTGGGGTTGTGACAAGTACACCAGCATGATGCGCATGACCGTACCATATGGTGTCAACACTGTCAGCCTCCTCTCTCTACCCAAGGCATGCCGTCAATCCGGACTCTTCTTCTCGATGGCAGTGCTTGGCAAGCAAGAGGGCTTTGACATCCCCGCTGGCGTTCCCGTGTCCTCCAACAACAGGAACACAGCACGTGGCCTCACTGGCACCAAGAATCTAAGCATCAGACAGCCTCCAACCATCAATGTTACCATCGCTCTCGACAACCCTGTTGTCACTCCAGGCTCCTCAACCAACATCACAATCAAGGTCACCAACTCTGCCGGCCAGCCACTCACTGGACAAGCCGAGGCATGTGTGTTTGTTGTGGACAAGCGTGTCCTTGACTTGGTCCCACATCCATTGGACAATGGCGATGAGTTCAGAACCTACACGCCCTGGTCAATGATCACTGGTGAGACATCGCGCAATGGTATCGTCGACAACTACATCATTCAGTTCAAGACCATGCTCAGAAGACTGACCTTCAACAGATGGCTATATGGCTCATGGTATGACATTGATCAGACTGACGAGGTCTTCTTCAAGGGCCACTACAACTGGCTCACCGAGTCGGCCAACATGTTGGCACGCAATCACCGATGGGCATTCAATGACGATATTGCATTCGACAGTCCATTGGCTGCCGCTGCCCCGCCAATGGCCGAAATGGATGGTGGATCTGCATTCCGAGGCATGGAGAAGGGAGGTGGTGGTGGCGCGCCAAGCAACGGTGTATCAGTGCGCAGCAACTTCCAGACCACTCCTCTCTTTGTTGCCAAGGCCCCAGTCAAGAATGGACAGGCAGTCGTGACCCTCGACTTGCCAGACGATTTGACTACCTTTGAGATCCGTACAATCATCGTCACAAAGGACATTGAGATAGCCACCACCGAGGCGTCGATCATCAGTCGAAGAGACGTCAACATCCTGCCCATCCAGCCAAGATTCGCAAGGATTGGTGACAAGTTTGAGTGCGGTGTGTCAGTTGTCGCGATCAACCCCATCTCCAACATCACCGTCACAATCAACATTGAACAACCAACTCTCATGCTACTCTCCTCAAGCAACTCGTCGACAATCAGCATCCAACAGGGAACGACCAGCAACGTAGTGTTCTCGCTCGAGGCTCTCAGCAAGGGACCCGCTCAAATGACCTTCTTCCTCAAGAGCTCCTCTGGAGCCAACCTCGACGCAGTCCGAGTGGAGTTTGACATATTGGGCAGACAGGCCCCCATCTACCTTGGCACAAGCATGGCCATCACAGCTAACTCTAGTCAGCCACCAGAGGGCATCAAGCTGCCCGCCGCCGAACCTGGCACTGGAACTTTGGATGTTGTCGTTGGAGTTGGCCGTTACCCATCTGTCGAGGCCAACAGTATCCAGATCATGGCCGCTGGCGCAGGCATCCTGCCATCTTCCTCCGACCTCCTTTCACAACAGGCTGTCTTTGGCGCTCTAATATCATATGGCTTCAACCAGACCCTTATCAATCAGGCCAACGCTACACTCAGACAACTGGACGAGAAGCTGAAGCCATACCTTGGACCAGACAGTATCAACAGCTATCCGCATCTGACCTACCAGGACAGCTACTACCCTACACTGTACGCTATCGTCCTGAACCGTCTGATGAACGTCACCAAACTCCAGGGATGGACCATCTCTCCCTCGATCGATATGTGGCGCCAGTACATTGACCAGCAACTCAACAGACGTGTGGAGGACGCTCATCAACACAACTACACTGTCGACAAGGAGGGCATTGCCTACGCATCCCTTGGTCTTGGCTACAACTGGGAGCCAACCTCACCAGACCTGGCACAATATGGCTGGAAGGCCCTGTCTGCCAACATCACAGACAATTGTGGACTGCGATGTCAGACCTACTTTGTGCTATCGTCGTTGTACAACTCTGCCGCTGGATCCCCGCCCCCAGCCTTTGTCAATTCAGTCATCAAGAACATTGAAAACAACATCAGAGTACAGGGTCGCACTGCCTATGTCACCTACGATGCCTATAGCAAGTCGGCTGACATTGAGGCCTCTGCCTATGCCGCTCTCGCCTTTATAGAGGTTGGCCATGAGACACCCCTGCTCGAGAAGATTGTCAACTTTGTTGCCACTGGTGGTATCCAACCAAACATCGTCTATGACTACATTTGGAGCATCTCAAGGGAGCAAAGGACCCTCTTAACCGTCATCCTCACCAACTACGACAGAGTCAAGAAGAGCACACGTCCAAACCTCACTCTCACAGTGTTCAAGGATACCCCATCACTTGAGATCATGTCTGCCACATTCGACACGAACCATGCAACTAGTGTGTCCAACTCTGTCGACTTTAGTCTCTTGGGCAACAACGAAGGCCAGATCATGTTCAAGGCCGTCGGCAGCGGAGAAGTCTCAGCCGCCGTTGGAATCACCTACGTACCTGCAACACTCCCCACCAGTCCAATCTACCATGGATTCTTTGTGCAAAAGGTGATCAAGCCACTCGGCTCCAACACTTCAGTGTCAATGTCGCAGCTCAACAACACATTCAATGTCGGACAGTTGGTTGAGGTGATCATCACCATCACCACCCCAGATGACATTGGCAATGTTATCATTGAGGACGGAGCATCCGCTGGTATTGAACCACTTGACAACAATGTTTACAACCTTGGCTCGGACAACAACAACAACCCAGTGCCATACTACTTGCGATTCTGGTACAGGCCATTCCCAACCCAGGAGACCTACAAGACCGAGGTGATCTTCCGTGGAAACAACATCCGTGCCGGTTGTTACACCGTTTCCTACAAGGCCATCGCCACTACCAAGGGTACCTTTACACTTCCACCAACCAAGGTCTACGCTCGTGACCAACCAGAGGTGTTTGGATTGTCTGCTGGCAGCGTGTACTCAATCCAAGCCTAAACAACTCTTGTAATAAAGTATAACCAACAACAACACTTGTATATAATATAGCACGACCCTCCACATCCTGTTGCAGTTGTGCATCCAGGTCGTGGCATCGCTAAGTGTTTACTACTTGTGATGATGATTGATGATGTGAATGATGGACACTCTAGAGAGTCTCCTTGAGAACCCATGATCCGTTCTTATCTTGAGCGAATAGGGCTGGCGTGTGAATCTCACCCTTGGCCTTGCGCTCAGCTGCAAGCTTCCTTTGGTGCTCCTCAACTTTAGACTTCTCGCGGGACAGAACTCTTGAGGGTTGGTTGGTCTTGACTGCATCGAGTAAACCCTTCCATGCGAAGGTCCAGTCGGTAGGCAGCAGCTTCTCTGGTGCAACATCCTCCATCACACCCTTGGCTCCCTTTAGACTCTCGAGATTGAAGAATGGCTTGCTGTCCTCCTTCTTATATGTTGTTATGGACAACTCCTTGTCCCATGATCCCTTGATCTTTTGTAACTTCTCCTTGCCATTGTACACTGTTGCATCAATCAAATTGTACTGGCCATAGAACATTGGCTACATTGAGTGGAGTGTATGAATGAGTATGAATGAGGCGGGCTGCCTTTCCCTGATCCTTTGACACAACTTACCTTGGCATGGAATGTGCACTTGGTGCGATATTTCGAGTTGGAACAGGTGATGATACTGTCGCCAATGTACTCGCAAAAGCCACGGAAGATACGCACAGCAAGTATTGGCTGTGTAACGGTGTAGACCTCGTTAAACTTATCTAGACGAACCTCCATGTTGCCATCGATGGTCAACTTAACGTATGTTCCCATGAAGTTTAGTCTCATGGGTGCGTAGAAGGTGGCAGAGATACCAGCCTTCTTGTCAAAGGCTGTGCTGGAACAGATGGGTGGGTGATGAGAGAGTTGCTCCGAGATTGACTCAACGACGTAGTTCTTCTCGGGGAACTTGATATCGTACTGGCATGTCTCACCCAGTACCGGGTTCAATGGCTTCTTGGTGAGATCATCCGGCAAGTATCCAGTGGACAAGGCAAACTTGAACACTTGGAGCATACGATCTTGAGCGCTCTCCATGTCGTTACAACTTTAGTTTGGTGCGCAGTTGTTGTAAGTGTTAGTGTTTGTGGATGTGGATGATAAGTGTGATGGATAGATGGATGAACCTACACTGTGAGCAGATCAAAGTGGAGGAAGGCCTCGGGATAGAAGACAAGTGATGACTTGGCTTGGATATGTGCACCACTGATGTTCATTGTGTTCATGTCTCCACCAATCTTTATGTTCTTGATCAAAGTGGACACAAGTGATGGTTCATCCTCAACATCAGTAGTGGCTGCCGGTGTCTCCATTTGTTTCTTGAACTCCTCAGGTATGCTCTCTCCAACATCCTCTTGATACTTTTTACTCGCTGACTTTGCCATTGATTGATTGAATGAATGAGTATAGATTGATTGATTGATTAATCGAGTCTATTTGCTGAATGAGTTGAAGGGACTTAAAATATTGTTGTTGTAACTGTAGAGTGACGTATCGCCAGAGTCATTGAATGACAATGATGAGATGAGACTGTGCATCATTCCCCAGGGAATGGTTTCGTGGTGATCAAGTTGGGCATGGGTACCTTTGCGTACTGTGTCTTGTCCCTCCCCTTTACCAAAAAAATCAACAGTGGTTGGAACCTCGCTATTCGCATCATATCAAGTCATTATGATTGTTAGGTCAACACTATTTTGGTTAACAGGTTATTCGGTTGATCGATTAATATTGATATTATCTCTTCAATCTCAATGTTCGTGGTTATTATAACATGTACAGCCCATTAACAAGTACATTTGACTTGTCATTCCAAAGAACATAGGTACGATTGTTAGGTGCATTTGTAGAGGTATGTTGGTTCTTTTCCTAACACAAGTTCCTTTGATTGTCTTACGGTATCTAGGTGGTTGGACTTTTACGGTCGAAGTTATAAACAAGGTTCCTTATCAAGTGACAAGGTAGGTAGTATGTTCCTTTTTTGATTGATTCCATTCATTGTTGTTTATTTGTTTGATTGTTTATGATAACAACACATATATTTGTTATTATGTATTTATGTATTACTCACATGGAAGAATAACAATGAATTAATGAGAGTGATGAAGGTACCTTGCTTTTGTATTGTTAGTTAACATCCCACATTCTACACACCATTGTGTAAAGTTGGTGAACAGATCCACCCACAACTTCCTTTAAAGGTAATCAATTTGATTGGACTACTCAACAACAACAACAACTACAACAACACAACATAAAATAAACAGAGTATTGTAATTGTAAAAGAATGAGATAGAAAGAGATAATTATTTGTTGGGACAGTTGTTTGTGGATTGTTATCGTAGATATCATAAAGTTATCTACGTCGAGAGAAGAATGTATTTATTACGACATGACGTCGTTGGTTGGGATGATTGGTTGGGAACAACAACCTTTGTTGTTCGCACTCTACATGTTCCAGAATGAATGAAGGTATAATGAAGAAAAAAAAGAAAGAAAAGGAATCAACCAAATATGATTGATTGAATGATTGGACGGTCGGATGGGACGGATGGATAGTGATTGATTGACTACCGCGCCAGTTGGCGGTGGTGTATGTATAAATGTATGTATTGGTTGTGGTGTTGGTGACATTCGACGATAAGTCTGATCAGCACGTTTAGTTGGAAACGGCCATCATACCATCGAGGAAGCCCCAGAGAAGCTTGGCAGCCTCCTCAGCACCCTGCTCGGCGACCTTTCTGTCCTCCTCAGAGAGCTTGTCAATGAGGGCGGCACACTCCTCAGAGTGCCACTCGTCGGCGGTGATGTGCTCGACGAAGAACTTGAGGGCACGCTCGTTGTTGATACCGTAGAACTTCTCAAGACCGTCGATCTTGGACTTGGCAACCTCTGGGACCTGTCTCTCGTAGGCGTACAGAGCACCGAGACCCTTGGCGTAGGACTCGTTGCAGAGATCGTAGTAGCCGTCGACGAGGGCCTTGGTCTTTGGCAGCAGCTCGGAGGACTTGACAGCCTCACGGGTGTTTCCGAGTCCCTCGGCAAAACGCATCCAGAGCTCTGGGTGGTTCTCCTCTCCGCTCTCCTCCTCGGTCAAGTTGCCGAGCAGCACCTGTCTGGACTTGATGTCGTCACACTTGGAGTGGATGGTGCTGATGTATCTTGGGAAGGCGTCGACGTGGTGGTAGTACTGGCCGGCGTAGACCTTGAGGGTCTCGAGGGTGAGCTCGCCGTGGCTCCACTTCTTGTAGAAGTCGTGAGTCAACAGGTGGTAGTTGTCCAGCTTGGCGTCGAGTTGCTTAATTTGCTCGGAAGACATTTCTCTGTATTTATTATATATGTATGTAGTAGAAAGTAAAGAAAGTATTAAAGAAAGAGATAAATAAATAAAGTTATTATTATTTGTTTGGGTTAATGTTTGGTGAATCAAACAAATGATTGGTTCTTCCAGTAAATAGTCGACTACCGACAGACGGTCATTGCCATTGTCAGTGAGTGAGGTGCAGTAACTCGTTCGTATATGCCATACCTTGTTGATCATTCATACATCCACTCACTCACTCAAACACACAACGACGCCTCAATCGGGATTTATAATTATCCAACCATACACACACTCATACCCTCACATGAATGCATTCATTCATCGGAGGTGTATGGAGGACGATTGTTTACACCATCATCATAATTACACACTACTGACTGTATGGTGGATCTCTCATAAGGATGGCCTTGACTTCCAAAATGGCAAGTGATTGTGCTTCCACCACTTTGGTGGTATCGGGGTGGTAGCCCACTGACACTCACACATATTCTCCCCACTAAAGTGTAAAATCACACTACTAACCCCGATAAACATCACTCGTTTTTGCATCCGGTTCCCATGGCCTTCGGTTATCAAGAGCCATCAATGACTCACAGCCAACAGGGTCATACATACTTATATACACACAGACATAGATAGATATAAAGGATAGATAGAATGGTGTGATATTATCTTTAAACTTTATAAACCATTCATTCAAATCACAATGTTAATGTGACGATTGTTGTGTTGTGTTCCCAATTGGCATCATTGTGGTTACCAACCAAGAGTTCCAGATAATAATAATTTATAATAGATCATCCTTGCTTTATCGAGCGGACAACCATCATACTTGTGTAGGGGCATGACATTGTAACGAATATAAACTTGGTGATTGATTGATGACTGATCATAAGGTGTAATTATGGAGTAATCAATGAGTCTGAACACATCATGGTTGTTGTATGCGAGGGTTTTGTGTGAGGGTTTGCAAACTTGGTTGGGTTGGGGTGAGGGCGAGGGCGAGGGTAAGGGTTAGGGCGAGGGTAGGATAAGAGACAAAGACAGAGATAGGATATATTGTTGATCGACAACTACAACTACAACCAACTATAAACACAATCACAACGACTAGCTGTGTGTGTTTAATAGATGGGTAGACTTTAATAGTATTGCTATATTTTAACTAACTACTTGTTGGGAGTCATGGAGGATGGGGTGATGGTGACCCATGGGAACTTCCACTCGTCTGGCATACCAACGTGGACGTAGGACCAGTTGTTGTCCTTCCAGTTGAAGGGTGGCTGCTGGTCGTGGGTGGGACCGGACTGGGCGGCGACCTGCATGGCGCGCACCATTGGCTGGTTGACGGCCTTGGAGTCGATGCCTCCAAAGGCGTCCTTGTTGAGGTATGGGTTGCCCGATGGGTTGGACTTGACCAAGTCGAAACGGCTGCTGATGGCATTGCCTGAGTTGCCGCCAGACAGGGTGTCGTGCTGCCAGTTGTTGTATCTCAGCTCGGCCTGGTACTGCTCGAATGTGTAGACGGTGTTGGCGTCGCGACGGAAGATCATGGCGCGGGGGTTGGCCGAGTAGGTGAAGAAGTTGCCGTAGGTGGAGGTGTGGTACATGGTCTCGTTGAAGCCCGAGATGTTGTAGATGTACTCAAAGTAGGGCACGTTGTAGCTGGGCCAGTAGCCGGTGCGCACAATGTTGGTGACGTCGTCAAACTCGACGTAGCCTGGGATCTGCTCCAAGATGTAGACCATGCCGTCCTTGGCGTCCTCGCCTGGCACGAAGCGGTTGTAGTCGACGATGATCCACTGGTTGTTGTAGGTACCACTGTTCTGGATGGCAAAGGTCGAGCACCAGGTGGCGCCAGATGTGGCCATACGATTGGCAATGATAACACGGATCCATGAGAGAACGGATGATGGGGTGACGGCAAGGTAGAGCTCGTTGTTCATGATGCCGTTGGTGGTCTCGATGACGACGAGGCCAGTGTCGAGCAGGTAAAAGTCATCGATGGACGACAGGGAAGCTGGGTACGAGCTGAACATGGTGGTCTTGGAGGCGGACTGGGTCTCGTCCGAGAAGGCAAAGGTGTAGATCTTGAACAGACGCACCATCTCGTAGAATGACGACCAGGTGGTGTGGCCGGCGTACAGCTCGGTAAGGTCGTCAGTGAGCTTGATCAAACTGGAGCAATGGCCAGTCTTGCGCATGAACTCCTCGACAGACTTGAGGGGTGGCATGGCAGACACGTCACCGCTGGTGTAGTTGAGTGCGGGTCCAAGGTCGATCATGTCGCCGTCCATGTTCATCAGCAGGATGTCAGACAGGGTGAGGGTCTGCGATGGCTCGATGTTGGCGTCTTGGTAGCCCTGGTGGAGGAAGTTGATCTGAGTCCAGACGAGGCCCACCTGCTGCCAGTATGGGTCCTGGGGGAAGGAGGCGATCTGCTGCACCATGTAGTCGTTGTTCTCGTTGACCCAAGTGAAGACGTTCTGGGGCACGGTCTTTTGGTACTCGTTGACAAACATGTTGTTCCAGTTCTGCCAGATCATGTCGGCCGAGAGGAAGCCCTCGATGTAGCCGGCGGCGGCGGCCTGCAGTGTGTCGTTGTATGCGCCGTTGGTCGAGATGGACAGGTAGCCCCAGCCGGTGGTCATCATCTCATTGCTAAAGATGGCCCAGGCGATGCCGTTGGTGCTGTTGCCCGTGAGCACAGTGAAGCGATTGTTCAAGTCCAACACGACTGAGTAGGTGGTCATTGGAATTGGGCCACCCTGGACGTTATTGGACATAACAACTGATGAGCTGATTATTGTCATCACAAAGGCCACAAAGGCCAATGTCATCATTGATGTATATCTCATTATAAATAAATTTGATTGATTATGTATTTGTATGATTGTGTTGAATGTGGAATGTTCCATCAACAACAACAAGGTACTACCTGATGTGGGAAGTGATCATTCCACTTTGCATTGTTGTTGTATTATTATTATTATTATCTTTGCAAAACAAACAAAAAAAGAAATCCCGAAAAAAAAATCAAATGATTGTGGGAGTGAAGGCCATGATTGGCCTCCCCATCCAAGGACTCAACAACACTCAAGCCCACTCTAACACACACACAATCACATGTGATTGACCCATCTGATACGTCAATCGACCTTCAGAACCTTCTTCCTCCCATTCTAAACATTCCAACTACTTTTCCAAAAAGATAAAGAATAAGCCCGGACACGACACTCGACAACAAAGAACAAGAAAGTGCTAGCGATCCTGAACTTGACACGAACTTGAAGATGAACTTGAATCATTCTTAACAAAGAATGGGCTGTTACTGTTTAAATTCAGATACTTTGATAATTAATCTGTTTAAAGAGAGATAATATTTGGTCGAACATTGGCACACGCATGGCTAAGGTCGCTCAGAACTATCATGATCATTTTTAAATTTATGATCATTATGGAGCCTTTATGTGATCACACGCATCTTGTGCAATCGATCAACATTTGGGTCCAAGACCTTGGACCACCAGACCCAGCTCTGTCTTGGAGTTCAAATACTCGCACAAATTATTACATGAGTTTATGGTGAGATTAAGGTTTAGTTAATGATTGATCAAAAGTGAGTGGTTTGATTGATTGTTTGACAGAATGATTGATTGAGTGTGTGTGAGTGTGTGTGATTGAGTGTGTGTTTACTTGTGTTATAACAATCAATCAATCAATCAATAGTGGACACTCACTCCCCCGAAAGTAATTGTCTTACATCATCAAACATCCACATCTAATCATTCAACAGATTTATTGGTTTTAATCAAAATAACACTTTGTTTGTTGTTGTTTGGCACACACTAACTCTAAAACACAGACACACGCGTCATTCAACCAATCATCCATCATCCATTCATATTCATTAATTCGCATACACACACTCTCTTTCTACTCAATTCATTCAATTCATTCATTCATTTCATTCTTTCATTCAATATATATATACAAATATATTAGTAGTATAAAGTGTAGAAGACTCAAGTACTTGAGTCCAATACTATATATATCTAGCAACGACATTTACTCTCAAAGGATGAATACTTCAACATCATCGACAGGCTCAGGTGGAGGCTCAGGCATCAACTCAAGTTCAAACAATGTCATGCTGACACCAACTAAGAAGAGTGCAATAACATCATCACTATCCAGTATCAATACAAACTCATCGGATTCAATCGAAGGTAGGTCATTGGGAATAGGGCATCACACAAACATCATGTCTAGACACATGCTAACAACGTAACAATCAACATACGAACAGTTGATTCATTCAACTTCCCTGCAAGTGAATGGGTTGCACGTGTGATGCATCAGCATCCAGATGTATTGGAACTACGAGAACGCATTCGTCCTATAAACAACGTAAAGTCATACTCAAGAAGCAGGACATGTGCCAAGACAGAGGCATCACATGTGATCACCGACGAAGTGTTGCTTAAGTTGATCATGCAATACCTCCACGAGGAGAACATGACAACATCACTCAAAAAGATACAGGAGGAGTGTAATATAAAGTGTAAGCATGACCATCTCAATCATTGGAACCATTCCAATCACTCACTCAATCACTCCAATCAATCAATCAATCAAACAAAACATAGTTGTACCAAACGAGATTGAGAATGAGGCATTACCAACATTATTACGCATTGGTATAAAGGATGCGAATAACTTGTTTGGACCATTGGAATCACCTTGGGAGATTGACCCCGAGGTAGAGGCGTATCACGCCTACGTCTCGGACCAGGACGGCGACAGCCACGAGGACGACAACAGGAATATATGGGAGGATGTCAATGATAACTCAAAGGTCAAGATGCTAAAGAATGCCGACAACAATACAGTGCAAGCTGCTACGCTTAACATGCTGATCTGGTGGCTGACAAACAACCCAAATGCCACCGACGCCAACGAGTTCAAGAAGATCTTCTTCCTGACCTATCCGTCGTTCACGACGGCCGAGACCATCATGAGCAAGGTGATCCAGATTTACAACGCGCCGTCGCGCGAGATCAGTGACAAGCTGCTCGTCGTCAACTTCTTCTGGTACTGGATCGAGCAGCACCCGCAGGACTTTAACGACAAGCTGCTGTCCATTCTCAACAACTTTATCGACAACCAGATGGGCAAGGACGGCCTGACCAGCTGGGCCAAGAAGCTCAGGACGTCGATTGCCAAGACCGAGAGCGGCCTGATCAAGAAGAAGGACAACTCGGGCCGCGAGCCACTCGAGCCCAAGGTGCCCAAGAACATCTTCTCGCCGACGCTCACCTTTGACGACATTGACGAGGAGGAGATAGCCAGACAGCTCTGTCTGATCGACTTCCAGATGTATGAAAACATCAAGTCGTCCGAGTTCCTGATCAAAGGTTGGACCAAGCCACAATTCAGATCAAAGGCCATCAACCTACTCACAATGATGAAGCGATTCAATGACTTTACAAAATGGGTAGCGTCCAGTCTACTCAACGAGCAACTGATCAAAGGCAAGTCCAAACTATTGGCCAAGTTCCTAAAGATATCAGAGGTATGTTATTGATCACACTCAATCAATCAATCGATCAATCACTCACTCACTCTCATTGGCAACAGCATCTAAGAGCAATGAACAACTTCCATTCATTGATGGCTATATATGGAGGCATTAACAATACGACAGTTTGGAGGACCAAGGCAGTTCGAAAGGATTTGAGTAAACAGCAACAAGAGGTTCGTATACTCCTTTGATCGATCGATTGATCAAGACCAAATATGGACATGATCACTAACTCAAACAACATCATCAACTCATCAGACATACTTGGAACTTGAGAAGTTATTCCATAGCGAGAACAATTACAAAGCATATCGTGTAGCATATAAGGATGGCAAGCCACATTGTATACCATTCCTGTAAGTTAAGTTATACCCGCGGGACAGACTAGTCCTCATCACTGACATGACACACGACAAACTATCACAGGGGCATTCATCTTAGAGACTTGGCATTTGTGGACGAAGGATCGGCTGATAAGATCGATCACATGATCAATTTGAACAAGCGAAGAATTATGTATAGAGTGATAACTAATACGATGAAGTATCAAACGGTCACTTATAACTTCCTCAAGGTTCATCAGATCGCATTGTTCTTGACCGATCTCAAGATAGACAACTTTGAGCCGGTCAAGAGTCTGGACCTTGGCTCACACGACACTGTTCTCCCAAGCAAGTGATCACAACTCGACAATCATTCATTCATTCCAAGATCCTCTCTCCATTATACAGTTCGCCACGATCATTGAATCGTATTCCAAATCATTCATTCCATGTACCATCCTCCTCCCTACCCTTTACCTCCTCCTTCCTTCTCGCCAACAACAGCATACTGCATGTGTAACGCTCCATCTTGACATTGTACAATAAACCATGGTCCATAAATATGTATTGAACTGGAGCTGAATGGTTTAGCTCTGCTGCTTAGTGCATCCATCCTGCGCCAGGTGTGTGTTCAGATCCAAAGTGTTGGAGAGGAATAGTGATGATCATGACATGACATGCCATGCCACGGTTGGCCAAGTGATTGGCTATTAAAATTAATCCTGATAGAATGATCTTGATTGTCTCAGGGGTCCTTCCTGCTCTTCCATGATTGATTGAATGAATGAATGAATGAAGTGTTGCTGCTGCTGCCAATCCATTTGATCAAATGCTCAAGCAAACATGCAAAAGAACAGGATCAACACTCCAAGTACAAAGAATATCCTTGACAGGAATATTGATTCAAACTCATTCTCTCTTTGTCCATTGCCATTGCCATTGCCATTTGTTTGATTATTCTACATTAATGAGTGAATGAATGAATGAGTGAATGAATAAGAGCGAAGGAGAGACCTCCAACTTACATAAAAGTGAAGACCAAATAGACCAGGGAAGAAACCAAAACCTGCAGAGAAGGACACGCCTCCAAGTTGAGTGTTCCATTGGTTGGTTCCAAATATATCTTGGAAGTATGGTGGAGCCCGTCCGTTAGCATTGGGTCGAGCCTGTTCAGGTCGTCCAGGTGGACGTTGTGGAATAGTTCTATTCTTTCGAGGATCTGTCTTATTACTACCTCGTCCATATATTGGTATCAGCTTCTCCTCTGTCACTGGTGCCTTGCACACTGGACATTGTTGACTTGGGTTATGTTGTAGCCATTGGAATATACATGACCAGCTGAGTATGTCGTTGTTGTGTCAGTCCTTGTCCTCATTCATTCATTCATTAAATCAATCATTGGTCATGTTAACATACCAGAATAGATGTCCACATTGAGTGACAACTGGTTCAGAGACATTATCAAAGCATATATTACATTCAAACATTCCATCATCACCTCCTGAGCCGCCTCCTCCTCCTGTTCCAGATGATGCTGAATGTGATTGTGTATCTTTCTGAACTTGTTGTTCAGGTTGTTGTTGTTGTTGTTGTTGTTGTTGTTGAGGATGTTGTTCATTGTCATCTGTTTCAATCATTGGTCTGTCTTGAGATGATGATGTAGATGATGACGATGACGACAATGATGTATCTGTAGTTGACGATGATGTAGATGTAGTACTTGTGCTTATTCTTCTCCTCAGTATTGGTTGATCAAGAATTGATGTATTGTCAACATCATCATTAAATGGTGTAGACATTATTTCTGTATATATATATATAATATATCTTTATCTTAGGATATTGTCAAACAAGAGAATGAAATTGAATGTGAAAGAATCTTCCAAAGATGGATTTAGTTTGTTTTTGTTTGGCAACAGACCTGCTAAACAGAGTCTTGGTGACTGGTCTTCAATGAGTCATCATTTAACTTAAGTTAATTTAGTAAGTTAAAGCAGGAGAAATGGTATAACTGGTTACGATCAATGGATATTGACAAACAAACTCAATTAGTGCTCTCTGACAATGACTCGATGTTAATCTTCAAAAGACGAGAAACTAGATGAATGTGTGTATGAGAGTGTGAGAGAGAGAGAAAGAGATTGGGATCGATCAATGAAAGAGAGCAGAGGCAGCCTTGCCTGCTGCTTGGTACTACATATAAATGTATACAGAGGACCACAACCACAGGTCACAGCCAATCAGAGTTCAAAGTATACACACTCTATCGATCAATCAATCACTAACTGCCCACACACCACACCACACACACACACACACACACACTACACATATAAACGATGGAAGTATAAGTATGTGTGTATGATGAAGTGTGATCAGTCAATCACACTATGGATAAATGGGATTAAAACACTTATGATGTTGATGATGTGATGATAAAGGTGAGGCATGCCACATGCCATGTGTTCTCCACATCCATTCCTCAATCAATCAATCAGCTGCCACCATCATCATCAACAACAACAATAACAAAACCTAACTTATACCATAGCAATAACAACAACATTCCTCCATTCAATCGTTCGTCAGGTTCTTTCTCCACTACAATTATACATTATTATTATTTGATGTAATCCAATCAAACAGTCAACATCAATCAATCAATCACATCCAATCTTTGCGGCAATTTCAAGTCCGTCCATCAACATCACCCCCACCAAACAATCAATCACGATGAATCCAAGCAGCCCATTCAGCTATGGAAATCCAACGTCAATCACCTCGACGCAACTTAGGCCAGGTACACCAACACCATCTTCCAAACCAATCATTGGTGGTGTAACAGGAGGAGGAGGTGGAGGAACGATCGACTCGGAAATATCAAAGCCCAACCCATTCACTGTCAAGTTGAAGCCTGTTGCCCGGGTTCCTTCGCCCACCCCTCTGTCGCCATCACTCTCATCAACATCCAATCAATCATCGCCCTCAATAAGACCAGTCAGTCCAGGCCTCGGACCAAGTCCAAGTCCAAGCCCAAGCCCAAGCCCAAGCCCAAGTCCAAACTCAAGTCAAAGTCCAAGCCACAGCAACAAGGACAATGTACATACACATACGCCAACAAACAATAGTTCTGCGCCACTAGTTGTAAGAACGTTTATCAAGAAGCCACCTGCTGCATCGATCACAGCTGGGGCACATTCATCATCACCAACATCATCTTCATCGCCTCAACTTTCATCAACATCTTCAACTCCACCTCGTCCTCAATCACCAAGTCTAAGTCAACCTCCAATACTGTCTGTCACATCGACCAACTCACCAAGCAGGCAATCACCAAACACTCACTTGTCACCAAGCAAGGCATCACCAATACTAAAGAGCGTGCCGATCAAGCCTGCCACAATCACACCACCTCAGCCACAATCACAGGCACATTCGCAGACACATTCACAGACACAGCAACAAACACGCCCACATACACCGACGCTACCACAGACTCAGACACAAGTACGACCACAAGCACAGACACAATCGCAACCACAGCGCCCACAGACACTTGCGCAGACACGCCCACAACCCACAGCCACAGCAACAGACACAGCCACAGACACAGCCACAGACCCAACTTCGACCACCTGGCAACTCGACACCTCCAAAGTCACCGGTAAAAAAGGAGTGGAAGCCTGTTAGTCCAATGGCACTGGCTCAACATACCGTGTTGCCAATTGATATGGTGACGACAGAGTCGTCGGAACTCGCAAAGAAGTTGACCAAGCAGTTGACATCAAGTATGAATGGCAAGGAGCCAGAGCGAGTGAGAGTACATACTGCACACAAGGGCGACAACATTGAGCTGACATTGCAACGAGGCGACATCATTCATGTGTTGGACAGACGCGACAAGACCCAATGCTATGGAAGCAATGGACTCAAGACAGGCACCTTCAATATGGCCAATTGCCAACCCATTTCTCCATTGTTGGCAACTCCACCGTCGAGCGCCGAGCTTGCGATTTGCATCGAGGACTACAAGGATGTCACGGGTGGCGGTGCCACAAGCATGGTGCGCGGCGATGTACTGGCCATCCTCGAGCGACGTGGCACTCCAACAATATCAAACTGCTATGGACGAGTGAAGCGCGGACTTGATGGCTGGGGCGATGCAGGCGAGTTCCCACCAAGGGTCGTGCGAGTACTGTCCGCTGAGGAGTTCCAACTGCACAGCGATGTGCTCGACGCGATTATGGAGAGTCGCGAACGCGCCAACGACCTGATATCGGCGCTGTTGCGCGAGTCAACAGAGTCCAGTTTGGCTGTTAGTGTCAGCGCGGGCGCAGGCAAGGACCATCGCCAGGCCAAGATCCGCGATCGTATCAATACCGTTCAGACCACGCGTGTAAATCTCCTGGCCGAGACCGAACCGACGCGCGCCAGCCAGCTACAGCACGACCTTCGTCGCCAGGTCGAAGGCCTTTACGCGCTCATGGACAATGAGTTCTTTGTGTGTGACGAACAGGGCAGGGTGCAGACCGATGACGCGTCATCAACAGTCTCGCCCATCACACTACTTCGCGAACACTACACATTGGCCGGCGAGAAGAAGACCATCAAGTTCGACCGCACGATATCCTCACGCGACAGCCAGGTGTTCTTTGAGGTGAGCACGAGCACTGGAAGGTCCAAGCTCTGGGAGTATGGCCAGCTGGTTGTGGACCTCAGGCTCACGCGATTCCTTGCCACGCTTGGCAGTGGCAGCAGAACACTCGAGCTCTACATCTCACTGCACAACTGGGTACAGCAACGAGCTGTTTCTGAGCAGATCGTGGTCAACATTGTAGATGGAGCCATTGTTCCATCGCCCAACCATCACAACAACAACGTCATCAGTGTGCTGTTCAAGAATATCGAGCCATTAGACGTATGCGAGGATACAATACTATTGATTCGTGCGATTAGACGTGGAACAATGAAGGACAACGTGGCAATTGGCAACAGCAACTTGGCGACAGGTGGCAACGGCAGTGGCAATGGTTATGAAATCAAGAAAGGATGCGCGGCAGACCTTCGCCGTCCATTCGCCCAAGCAGCCATAAAGATCGCCAGTCTAATCTCTGATGCGCAACCCGGAGTCTACAGCCACGAAGTCTCAGCCATGTTCTGGACATCATCGAACGACGCATCATTCGCAACATTATCCGAGCGTAAGTGTCCACTTGCTTACCGCCCGCAATGATTCCATCCCATCATTCATCACTAACCCCTTCCCACCAGTTATAACCAAACATAGTTGTGATGAGGACTTGAGGAAGGCTGGAGTGGAGCCAGTCCCCAAGAGCCAGGGCTCACAGTTGCAGACACAGGTAGCAGTGTCATTCTATGATCAGCCATTCAAGGCGGCAACAGAGCGATGGCCTGAACTAAACAAGTTGCCAAGGGCCGAGAAGCTCGAGCACAAGGCTGTGATCAATGAGCCTCGACATCAGATGTATTTGACGATCGACAGCGCCAAGCTGACACAGGGCAAGAAGTTCGAGGTGTCTGTGCGCATCAGGATGGACACGGGCGAGTTCCTGCCCTACTGCATGTCAATGGGCACCGCGTCACAGCTGCTGACGGACGCGCGGTCTGTCGTATGCTGCTACACCACCGCACCAGTGTGGCATGAGACCATTCACATGGATGTCTCTCCCGACAAGTTCATGTCGGCGCATCTCCTATTCACCATCCGCAGCGCATCGTCCAAGACCAGCAAGTCAGGAATTATAGCCTTTGCATTCCTGCCATTGGCGCAGGCCATTGGTCGTCGCGAGCAAGACCACAATGATGAGGACAACGAGCAGATAGCATTGGCCAATGGAGACTACACCCTCATACTCTACAAGACGTCCACGGACAACATTGATATCAAGTACATTGAGGACGACTTACCTTCAATCGCGCCAACCTCTGATAAGGACAACAAGGACAAGGACAAGTCGCCAGGTCGCGACAAGCCATCATTCACCGTGCGCAAGAATGAACATCTCAAGGTGCGCACACTGTTCCAAACGACACGCTTCGTCCAACATACAGCAGTGGCACAGATAATCAACTGGCGACAGCATGAGTCCGCGATCACCGACATCTTGGACAAGCAGTTTAGATTCGTGGACAGCGTGGCAATCATGCGACAGCTGACGCCCATCATCGACGCTCTGTTCCGCATCTACGACTCTAACACGGCGGGTTCGCTGTTCATCGTCGAGCCTATCGCGCTCACCGTGTACAACACCATCGTCTTCATCATCGCGCTGCTTACGGACGAACGCACCAGCCGGTTTGCGCAGTTCAAGCCTGTTCTGGACGCATACATCCAGACACAGTTTGCTGGCGCGATGGCGCACAAGCACATCCTGAATTGTCTGTGCTTCCACATGCAGGAGATATCGATCCGCGAGTCGGCCAAGATCGCCACCACGCTCAAGTCGCTTGACTACATGTTCCAGCTAATCGTTCGCTCTCGCTTGGTCTTTATGCAGACGGCCTCGCCGGCATTGCGCGCCGAGCACTCTGACGCACAGTGGCGCAACGATGTGTTAGAGTTCCTCGCGCTGTTCAACAACCTGATGGCCAACACTGCGCCCCAGCTCATTGTGATCCAGACCCTGGCCCTGCGCAACTTTGCCACGATGATGAAGGGACTCAGCCAGTTCTTTGACAAGGCGCAGCGCTGTCGCATACTCTGCCAGTTCATCGAGTCTGTGCACGTCAATGTACGCCAAGAGATACTAAACGCCAACAAACTGACCATCTTGTACCAGATGCTCACGGGTCCTCTGCCACTGGACGGCGACACCATCCCCCTGCTGCTACCACTACTTGTTGCAACGATTGAGCGACACTTGGCCGTCGAGCATCTCGAGGAAATGAAGATGTCAGTTCAGCTACTTTCACTGACGCTGGAGGCGCTCGAGCAAGTCACCGCGCCAGACGCCCGTCGCGAGTACCTGGCCCTCCTGGTTAGTCGCCTGCTTGGCAAGGCTGTCACAATGGCCGAGTCTGTGGTCACACTCTCATCCATCACCATGCCTGGCTTGCTCCAGAGCTATGACGTCGCGTTCCTCATCACATGCCTGCTCACCATGCTCAAACATGCACAGGCGCACAACATACTTGTTCCACAGCTCACACTGGCCACGCCTGGCGAGACGACGCGTGGACTAAAGCGTATACTCAAACTTTTGGATTCAATCACACTTGGCCGGATCTATCCAGAGCGCTGGCCCACAATGCATCTGTTCCAGGTTGGTGTGTCCCTGCGTCTGCTGGAAGACCTCACGCCCCTGCTCTACAAACATGCGCCACTTCAACAACAGCTCACAGACACAGGCATCTGGCACACATTCCTCACGCTCCAATTCAATCTGCTTGGCAGTCCTTTGTTGCGTGCAACTGACCACCGCATCAACCGCGTTGCCATCCATACCGCGTCGCAGGTAACGCGTGTCCGCCAAGGTTTGATACATGTGATACGCGACAACTGGTGCTACATGTCGTTCAATCAGATACACTATGTTCAGTTCATGGTGCCACTTGTGTTGCAGACTCTGTTGGCTATTCATTGCGAGGTGGATGAGATGGCACAGGACCTGTTCATATCGATGCTCAAGAATGAGTACTGCGATCGCAAGTCATTGAGGCGCGTTGAGACCAAGATGATTGAGGTGCTCGATCGCCTGGTGATTGCAGGCCAGACCGTGGACGAGAATATCTTCCGCCAGTTCCTAGGCCGCCGCATCGACGCGTACTTTAGCGCGGCCGATGCGCCAGGAGCCGTCCTGGACGGAGCATTCCGCTCAGATGGCCGAACATTCATCGCCAACATCACGCACCTGCTCGGCCTGATGTACGATTTCAGGACCCTGCCCAATGATCGCGCATTTGAAGAGGAGCGCACGATCGCCACTCTCAAAATGATGGAATACTTCAAGGATCGCAAGGACACATACGTCAAGTATCTTCAAGAGTTGCTCAGCCAGCATATCAAGAGTGGATATTACACCGAGGCTGGTCACGCCCTGATGTTGCACTCGGAACTATACCAATGGAGCGTAACGACCATCCTGCCAGCACTGGAACTCGAGTTGCCCGACAAGGAGTCGCACGTGACTCTCACCTTCCCGCAAGAGTCAGCGTCTGAGCGTAAAGTTCGCTTGATGCGTCAGGCCATAGTGTACCTGGACAAAGGACAAGCTTGGGAGATATGTCTGGCACTGATCAATGAGCTGAAGCGTCAGTTTGAGGAAACATTCAACTACAAGGCCTTGGCCGACGTCTTGTTCATCGAGGCCGAGTACTACGACAAGATACTGCACACGGACCGATTCTACAGCGAGTATTTCCGAGTGGGCTACTATGGCAAGAAGTTCCCGCCATCAATCCAAGGCAAGGAGTACCTGTACAAGGGCTATGAGCTCGAGAGACTTCCGGACTTTACAGCGCGCATCATGGCCAAGTTCCCCAATGCCGAATTGCTCAAGTCCACGGCGGAGCCATCACAAGACATTCTGGACTCCGATGCTCAGTACCTGTTGATCACGCCGGTCAACCCATCTTCACTCGAGGAAATGGAGAAGCGCGAACAAGACGTGATTGAGGGCACACCCATCAACTCGAGGAACTTCCTCAAGCGCAACCATGTCAAGGTGTTCTTGTATTCCAAGCCGTTCAGGCCCGAATCAACTATCACCATCAAGGGCGGCAATGAGTTTGCCGATCTCTGGATTCGCAATCATTTCCTGGTCACAGACTCTGCTTTCCCAACAATCCATCGTCGTGCCGAGATCATCAAGAAACACGAGGTCATCCTATCGCCTGTCGAAGTGGCAGTGCAGAGCGTGCAGCAAAAGACAGAGGACCTATGCGAGATGATAGTAAGGTATCAGAACAATGGTCAACTCAATCTTAATCCATTGGCCATGGCTTTGAATGGTATAATTGATGCGGCAGTCAATGGTGGAATCACGTTGTACAAAGAGGCATTCCTCAGTCCCAAATCAATCAAAACTGTTGACCAGGCTCATGCCAAGCAGCTCTCTGAATCAATCCGTCTACAAGTTGAAGCTCTTGATCGTGGTCTCCAAATACACTCTGTTCGCTGTTCCGATGAGCTTCGAGGACTTCATGAGAAGATGGAGAGTAAGTCATGAACCATTTGTCCCTAGAAATCTCATTCACTAACCTTGTCAATCACAAATTATTCCAGGCTTCTTCCTCAAACTCAAGGCTGATGTGTTGACACTCTAGGACTATTTCAATCACCCAATCAATCAATAAATCAATAAATCATTCTTGTATATAAACATTTATTATTACTCCAGTTAATCCAACAGAAGTGATCCGAATGCAACTAATAATGAGACAGCCAGGAGATGGATGATCAAGTACTTTCCACCTAACAATGACTTTTTTGTTTCAGAAGGAAGACTGATGAATGAATACTTGATGGTGGCCATTTTTCCAACAAACTTCCTTCCAATACATATGGCAGTACGGTTGGCTGAGGAGGAAGATGACTGTCTTGAGCTCTGACCCATTGACTCTAGAAGTTGTATCTGATACTGATGTTCGGCATTGATTGATCTGGGAAATGTTCCATTCCACATTAGCAATTGATACGAATGAATTGATGGATTGTGCTTGGATAACAACGAGATGTATTGTTCCAATGTACAAGAATCGAGATTGATCTTGAGTGAAAGTTGGAAGTTAGAGCCAACTGTTGATGATGTTGGATGATTGATGATGTCCTGTGGACCGATATAACTGTTGATATATACAATCTTAACTGAGGAGTTGACCAAACAGTGATGGTATTTGGATAGTTGATACATTGAGCCCATCTCCAAAGACTGAAGATTGATTGGAATGACCAGTTTGCTTGGTTCGCAATTGAATCTATGTCCCAGGACGAGAAGTATAAGTGAATCTGGTAGTACACCAGTGGATAATGGTTGATTAAAGTCATATGCCAATGACAACTTGGTCAGGTTGGGTGGCAAGACATCTTGTTCGGATAGAGACTGATTGAAGTCTGGTCCAAACTTGATCATTCTCAATGATCGTGGGAGAGAATAAGGTAGTAAATGTTGATTGTATAATGTGCCAAATCTAAGGTATGTAAGCGATTCGGGTAAGGAGCAAGGTAGGATAGGATGGGAGTAGGAGTGGCCAAAGGTGAGTGCGAGGAGGTATGGTGGCAGGTTATCTGTGGTCAAAGGCTGATCGAATGTGTAGCCGAATGTGATCGTAGTGAGAGACGGTGGTAGTGCTTGTGGCAAAAGAGGTTCGTTGAAGTGGTAGCCAAAGGTAAGACATTGGAGTGAGTTTGGCAAGGAGCCTCTCTCGATGGGCTGATTGAAGTTGCCGCCCAGCACCAAGACGACCAGAGACTGCGGTAGCTCACACGATTTCAAAGGTTGATTGTAGTGGAAGCCCAGGCTTAGCTTGAACAGTGATTGAGGCAGCGCACCCGATTGAAATTGCTCGTTAAAGTGATTGCTAACCTTGAGCTTTGATGTGTATGCTGGTTCTTTGGGTGCGGACACTGAGTTGAAGTGTGACATGATTGAATGAGCATAGGTCTCTAGGCGATCATGATCGCCATCATTGTTGATGTAAGTGTTCAACTTGTTTCCAAAGAGTTTAAAGTGGCGTCTACAAGTCAACGCGAAGCAGACCAAGTCGATATCATCTTGAAGACAGTCAACTATCGATGTCAATATCTGTGTTGATATATATTTATCCATGGCTGATCATTCTATCACATTAGAGTTCCCAAAAAGGAAATGATCAGGTGATCAAATTTTATAAGTTGATGGGTCCACCTGGATTATATTTTATTCTAACTGCACAAGATAGTTGGCCAATTGTTCGTTACCATTTAATTGAGCCAATTGGTGATGATTGTGAATGATTAGATCGTGATGTTGTTGATAACATTGTTTGATAAAGTGATCTTGATTCTCATTGATGGCACACTTGATCATACTTTCAATGCAATCAGTGAGATCAATGTAATCAAGTTGATGGTGGGCCAATAGATATTCAAACAACTCCACATTGCCAAGTTTACCAACAATGTCCCATTGTTTGAATTGTCCAATACAACCAGGTTGCTTCTGGACGATGAATTGGAGTGCTCCAAAATGAGGTCCACTGTTTAACATTGTGTAGGGTATCAACTGCTGATGAACTTGTTCATTGAAATTGTCAGGATAGTGTTCAAGGAGTAAGGCCAAAATATCTACTCTATCAATCATTGTTGCCAACTTGGCAATATATTGACATGTAGACATACTGAGTAGGTCTGGATACGTCTTGATAATATATTCCAGGTGGTCATATTCCAAGATAATCAATATCCTGATGTGAGTGAGTTGGAACATTTTGTTGTTGTCTGACAACATGAACTCCAGAGAGTCCATTGAACCTCTGAAAAGTGGGATGTTCATTGGATCGATATAGGTGGAATGTTGACTGTCAGTCAACAACTTGTTGAGGCACTGGATCACTTCCAAATTGTCCGAACCCAAGAATTCTTCAAAGAGTTCAATATCTTGGAATACATCAATAGAACCAGGAGGTGGACGACTTGGAAGATATCCAATGAGAACTTTGATCTGGTGTATGTTTCCAAATTCCACTATTAGTTGTACAATCGATTGCAAGGTACGATAACTATCCACTGCCGTATCGATGAGGTAAGGTATGAGAATGATGTCTCCAGTGGATATATAGTCTAGGTGGATATAGTTTTCAAAGGTATCCCATCCTCTAGGCCTCCCATTGTACCATGTGTACTGTCCAATCTTGATATAGACCATCCTCAGCTCATCGGTGATGGTCTCACCATCGTCCCCGACAACTTCTCCCTCCTCCTGCAGGTCCAAAGCACCAACATGCAATGACTTTGCCAAGTCCGAGGATTTGATGAGTGCGCGTTGGGCATCTTGATCAATGTTGGGGATGGGATTGATGAGTTGCATACGTGCCAAGGTCTCAAGGCGAGACAGTTGTTCCATCGGCAGTATGGTCAAGTCACAAGGAAGAGTTCCTATTCCTTTAGAGAGTGTTGTGGCGTAGACTTCACCATCGGGCTGTAGTAGGCACATGCAAATCAGATCCCAATCACCGGTCTTTACGATTGCCAACTCGTGTTTACTCGCTTGAGACTTGAGGGCATTGATCAGATCATCAGAGAAGTTGCCAGGCTCGAGTATATATGCGATCGACTTGGCGCCTCCGTTGTAGATTGCTTGAGCCTCTGCGATGATGGCTCTCACCAGTACAGGCTGGATATATGCGCCGCTTTCACTGAGGAACTTGAACACAGACATTCTACCATTGTACAATGCTTGATTCAACAAGTCTTGGGAACGCACAAACTTGATGGGAGAGGTCTGTTGCCACAGTGTCTTGATGATGTCTAGATTGCCACCGCCCACTGCCCTATTTAGCATCGATTGTTCATCAAAGAGATGTTGATAGGCGTTGTAAAGTGCGGTGAATGTGTCACCGTCCATGTCTCTAGCAGTCCATACACTGCTATTAATGATATCTCTATTGATGTTAATGTACAGATTGAGTTTGATACGATCTCGTAGCAGGCCATAATGTTTGTGTAGTATTATCACTGATGCATCAGTCCAGTGATTGTACTTGCTACGATATCGGAACAGCCTTTCAGTGTTTGATAATGATGTAGATGGTGATGGTGATGAATCATCTCTTCTAAACACATCAATCATCAGAAGTAATAGTTGAGGGTCTTGACTTAGTCGACTAATCATTCGTCTTGATATAGTGATCGAAGCAATGATAGTCTTGACCAATGTTCTGTTGGTAAGCACTTGTAGGAAGGGACTATCTCTATTCATATTTGTTTGTTGTGTTATCTCTTGGGTGGTGGCAAATAAGGAATGGACATTTATTCGTTGGAATCCAACACCAACACCTGTGAACTACAAGTTCCAAGCTTTGTTGCTGAATGAAATGAGAGTGTGAGCCAAGCCAACTTTATGCCATCCATGATGGAGGCAAGCAAGTATGGAGGGGCTCATTCTCAAGTGATCACTTGACCAAACGCCAGCCAATAGAGGGGACAACAACGGGGACGGGACGGGATAGGGTACCAACTTGATGGTAAGGCCCGGGCGCGACAAGCATACAGAGGGACAGAGGGATGGACGGACCTAGGAGGAGCAAATTCGAACAAAATTATGTGTTATAACATCGGACAAAGTTGTCGACCGGATGCCGGCAGTGTGGACATATTGGGCTGAGTGAGCTCTTGATGACTACGGCGCATCTTGCACATAGTCTATGGCCACATGTTGTCCAGCAGACCTGCTTCTCATGCTCTTGGCATATGCCACAAAATCTCTCCTTGTCCAAATCCGACTCCAAGTCACGTACTCGCTTGTAATTGTTTATCTCCAACCGAGATAGTCTGTCCTCAAAGCCAGACATTTGATCGTTAACCTAATAATAATATAATGAATAGTGTCTTTGACTTCATGATCACGGTCAATCAACAAGAACATACCCAATTATTCATATTCTCCATATCCTTCTTTAAACTCTTGTTCTCTGAGAGTAGAAGTTTGTTCTGCTCTTCCAGGGGTAACGGCAGACCATTGTCGTCAGTGAGCTTGGTGGGCATGGCCGTGGGCTTTGGCGGCTGAAGAGGCAGACGGGTCGAGGTGTTTGATGTGGTCGATGTTGATATTGGCTGCGCTGGCGCCAGATAGGATGTGGTTGTGGTCGTCGTTGTCATTGTCGTAATGATTGTGTCTTCCTCCTCCTCGTCATCGTCCTCAATCTCGGCGCCATCCTCGACATTTTCGTGCTGCTGCTCGCTCTCATCCTCCATCTTTTGGAACCAATAGTATGCGGCGGCGGCACCGGCCAACACGGTAGTGGCCACGGCGGCCACTATGGCAGTGGTCTTTAGAGAGTCTGCCTTGACCTCTATATCCAACACCTTTTCAATCTTGATAGGTGCTCCACCTGTCAGGAATTTGAAGCTATATTCTGGGTCTAACGGGTCCATTCTGTTTGGTCTTTCTCTTTCGCTATTTTAAAACAAGTAATAGTTCGGTATCGGTATCTTGTCTTGTCTTCTACTACTTCTTCTTCTCGGTGTTTCCCTCGGGATATATACAACTCTTCGAATTAACTGTTGATCTGATCAGACAGTAATATATATTTATAAAGTCCAATCCAATTATACAATTAATTAATAAATGATGTTGTTGTTGTTGTAAATGATGATGATAATGAGATTATAAAGAGATTCGTTAAAGATTATTATGTAACCTTTAAGAGTGAAATTGGTTGTTCTAAATAATACAGGGGACTATATACACTATATATAAATAAACTATATTGATATTGATAAGTTGATATAATATACAATCTATTGTTATTTGTTTGGTTATTCCTTCACCTTGTCATCAAGTCCTCACACAACTCAATCAAACAAACAAACAAACCAACAAACAAACTACTATATATTATACTATATATATATATAAATAAATAATGTATATAATATTGTTGTTATCTGTATGAACTCTTTGAGAAGTGTGTAGAGTTCACTTGTGGCTAAGGGGTTGGGTCGACGTTATTGTTGTTGTTGTCAGCAGCAGCTAAAGGGATGGTATAATTGAGAGGTGTGTATGTGTGTGTGTGTGTATGTGAATATACAATAAGTAAGAATGATGTGTTTGTGTGTGTGTTTTATTATTAAGAGTTGTTTGTGTTAATGGTGGTGGTTGGGAAACGGTGTGTGTCTTCCCAAAAACATTGGATTTGGGTTCTTTTTGCATGGGTTTGAGCAATGTTCCCGTATTGTTGTTTAGATGGAGAGAATGAATCTTATTTTAATTTAAAGAGATTCGAATCTCATGTCTCTCGCCTATTCCCTTGGTTTGTCAACATTGTCCATTGTCCATTGTACATTGTACTTTGTACATTGTACATTGACCTTCTTTGTTGGTAAACTTGTAGCATTGACTTCTTAATCTTTAGAAGATTTACTTACATGCTTGTATAAGATGGATAATGATAACAACTCCAATTGGATTGGTTGTAGGATGACCGCTATTGAAGACTAGGGAAACACTGAATGATTGATTCTTTTGGTGAGATAGTATAACTTTATAGACATACTGGTAAACCAATAACAACAAGAACTACTAGTAGTTCAACAATAAATCAATAAAACAAATTGAAGTACGACAACATCTGGAAATTTCTCAGACCAGAAGAAAGGAACGAAAGACAAAGAATAGATGAGTAATTGAATGATTGAATGAATGAATACCAATGTATAATCATCAATCAATCAATCAATCTAGTATAGTAGTATAATAGAATGATTAATAATAATAATAATAATAACAACATTTGGAATGAACAATTCCAACAGTCATCATCTCAGTTGTTGAGAGGTGTCGATCGTATAGAGAACAGTTTATCCAATCATCTCAAATCAATAGTGTTTGACTCCAACTTTATCAATGACATTGCAGAGTAGATTTCAACATATGTCCATGCCTTGCTTGCTTGCTGGACTTAATGATGTATGACTAAACGAGTCTCTACTAACCAACTATACACCTTATCATACATAACTCACACGATAGAGCATATCCTAAATACCCTCTCGTTGCCAACTTGAGATGTGGAGCATGGTATTCACCAAGGTTTCATTCATCTTGTTACTTTAGATCGACTGATGGACATTATGGCAATTGGAGATTCAGTCTAACACGGCTTAACCTTGGTATCCTGGACACTCTGATCAAACACGATGGTTGTCTTGTAGTCGACTCAACTAGACGTGGCAAGAAGTTCCCAGACAGCTTCAGTCGTACAATACCAATATGGGCATGTGTAATCAGTCGAACGATCAAGAAGTTAAGAGAGCAATCACAACCATCACAACAACTTCAATCCCCGGAGGAAGATACATCGTGGAATCAACTTTACACACCATCATGGATATCTGAATCTGAACGTGATCAAATGATGATGTTGGTTGATAGGTATATGGATAACTTGATGCCATTTGTTAATGCAGCTGGACTTGATCACCTTGCCACACTGATCAAGAAACCAATCAGACCACTTTGGATATCAGTCGAGACGATTGTTTGGAAGGACTATGATCATGGTGATGGAGGAGACACTCTGGACTTCCATCCAATGTACTTGATATCATGTTCAGACTATAGAGATGATAGATTACCATTCCGTGCTTATATACAAGGAGCTGGTGATGATGAAGAGAACTGGTCACAAGGACTATCACATCAGATGTTCTGGAGACATCACCAATCAATCATGTCACAACAAACTGATCAATCAATGGAAGAATACGTCAAACAACTTGTAAATAATCACAATATCAACAACATCGACAACAACCACAATGACAATCATTATGTATCAATTGGAAACACAAACATAGTATTATCAACATCAAAGATCACTAAGGAACTTATGGATGAACCTTCAAACACTTTATTACTTAATTGTAGTATGTCCTATCAATACAATAACAACGAACAATCATTGTTTACAAATGAGACCGAGCTTAAAGCAAGATATATACACATACCAATGAAGGAAGGCAAGTCTGGAAAGAGTGATCTTATGTACAAGTTGAAACAATGTGAGATGTGGATAGTGGAGCGAATGAATGGTCCAAATCCAAAGACAACAACAAAACTTATCATTCATTCATTGGATGGATACTCAAATTGTGTATCCATAGCTATTGTATTGCTTGCCAAATATGCAAAGATGAATATGTTGGTAATGGATGACTATCAGTCTACATGTGGCGTTGACAGCAACTGTCTCAACTGGTCTCAATCAAACAAGAATATCAACAAGACAACCATCCAGACACTCTACCTCTGGCTGGAAAAGACATGTCCATCAATCACTCTTCCTCACAAGAGTCTCAGGAATGCAATCAACAACAATCTCATGTCCCCGCCAGGTACTCCATTCAAATAACATGTACAATGCATTAAGTCCATTCCTCTATTGTGTTAACAAACTAAAAGGGGATCGAGCAAAGACAGTCAGTCCAGTGTGCCGCCTGGATACTGCTCAACACTGATGAATGATACTGAGCAATTACTCTTTAAACTAATTTATATAATCGTTGTGCGTCCAGACACCATCCTTCTGGGTGAAGTGAGCTGGTGCCCATACGATACCCTTCTCCTTCCTGTCCAGTGCGATCTTTCTCTGCTCCTCCTCGACCTTGGTCTTCTCGCGTGTGATGGACTTGGCGGGCGTGCTTGACTTGGCACCCTCGATGACGCCAGCCCACACCAGATTGGAGTCGGTGGGCAACACCTCTGTCTCTGGCACTGGTGCAATATTGCACTTGGACAACTTGTTCTTGTCAAAGAAGAACTCATACTTGTCCTTCTTATGTGCAGATATCTTGATCTCGGCGTCCCAGTGACCCTTTAGTTTATACAATTTATCCTTGCCATTGAACACTGTTGCCTCAATCACATTATGTGATCCAATCAGCAGTGGCTAGAATTGATTGATTGATTGGTTGAACGATGAAGTTAGTTATTGTTTCTGAAACTTGATTGATTGAGTGTTAATGTGTTGGGGCGGGGGAGGGGCGAGGCTTGGGCTTAGGCCGGAATCATTCCAGCCTAACCCCCACCTCACTCCACACACATTCACACTTGGGTCCCAAACATACCTTTGGAAGGAAGGTGGTCTTGAGGGTATATGGATGCTTGTCACATGATAGTGTAGAGGTACCAATGAACTCTCCGAAAGCTCTGAATATACGGAAGGCAAGGGATGGAAGGGTGGTGGTGTAGGTCTCGTTGAACTTCTCGAGACGGATATGGAAGCAGCCATCGATCGTCAACTTGATGTAGGTGCCCATGAAGCTTGGCTTCATTGGCGAGCAGAACCAGCCGTAGATGCCGTTGGTCTTGTCGTGGACGACGTTGGCCGACAGTGGTGGGTGATGGGAGATCTGCTCGCAGAACGAGGTGACTGTGCCCGGGTTGTTGTCGTACGTGGCTTTGGCAGTGTGTGTCTCGCCCAGCACTGGGTTGAGGGGCTTCTTGCCCACCTCCTTGGGGATCCAACGCGTGGACATAATGTAGCGGTAGACCTGCAACATTCTCTCGAGCGGGTCGCTGATGTCGTTGCACTTGACCAGCAGGTCAAAGTAGGCCAGACAGTGCTCGGCAAAGAAGGTGAGTGCGGAGCGCGGCATGATCCAGCCGCCGGGGAAGTTCATCGACGTGAGATCCGTGCCGATCTTCATGTTCTTCATCATGGAGGTCATCGTGTTTGGGTTGGCCTTGCCATTGTCCACCTGGGCATCAATCTCATCGATCGACATTGTCTTTGTTTCGGCCGCAGCGCCATCCTTTGCCACCTCATCAGGGATAGTCTCTCCAACATCTTCCAAGTTTTCTTCCTTTGTCTTTCCCATTGTGTTGTGTATATGTATGTTTAAATATGTTATATCTGTGTATGTCCTTTGCTAAGTATGAATGATTGAATGAATGATATAACTTAGTTGGTGGAGATGGAATGCTAGGAAGTGTAGACTTGTTGAATCATTGTGAGGAGGACGTTCTTTGCCCTAGGGTGATGAGTGGATGCATCACTGTTGTGGGAGGTGAGTCAGGGCATGACGGGTGTGGGGGTGATCCGACGTCTGATTGAATGATCCTTGACTTTGACGCGCCAGCCTTGTGGAAATGTCGCGGGTGTTACTCCGTCAACTAACTATCTAACACACATACATCAAATTTTGCAAATGAACGAAGGAAACCTCCGTGGATGTTGTGTGACAGTTCCCCGGATAGGTTTTGGACACTTAGAGTTATGACGTAGTGTTGATGCAAGATTTATAAGTGATCACCCATGTATATAACCATCATTGCGTCGTCTCCAGGGATCATGCATAGAACAGAACATCCTACTCACTTGGGTTTTATCGAATGGGCGTACCCACTCAAGGTCGATCACTCTTCCGATCCTCCTCCACCTCCTCAAGCATGTTGTGTGACTGGTCCCCATCATAGTATTTTATCTTAAGACACATAAAGTAATCATACAGATAGAATATATATATATATATATATATTGAGCATTGATTGAGTAAATGTCAAAGCTCGGACGCAAACGACAAACGAGCACCCTTTTAGGACCAGGCCCAGAACACACGAGTGCCCTGGTGGGTCGAACAAACAAACAAAGGTGAATCTTCAAGTTTGTTGTCCAATTGCAGAGATAAATGGAGAGATTATCGAAAGAATAATGTTGTTGGTCGTCGTCGGGCACACCTCAGTCTTGGACCAAGTATCGTGATTGATTGGTTGTATCTTTGTGTGTGTGTGAGGGTGGGTGTTCGTGTATGTGTGTATGAGTTGTTGCCATTCTTGCAACTGTAGGGGGTGAGTGCAACAGCATCCCTCATAGTGTAAGGTGTTTGTAAATTTAATTTGTGAGTTGTTGGTGTTTGGATGGAATGGATGAAGATGGAGACCAAAGCGGACAACAACACACTTCTTCTTCCCAATTCCAAACAAACTTGTGAATTCACTGTTGTTGTACATAAGATATATATTTGTATGTATGTATGTAATATATAATAATATAATAAATAATAAATAATAATAATATATGTATTGAGTCTCATTCATTCGTTCAATTATCAATCACAGTTAGCCAGAGTTATTATTATTATTTAAAGTTCAAGAGAGAATACTACCATTCCGCCCTATACTCATCATCATCATCATCATCATCAGAAGAAGAAGAATTATTAATAATACCTCTGGCCAAGAACAAAAGACATTCTGGTGAATTACATATTATTATTATTATTATTTTAATATTTATAATCTACATTGATTGACAAAAGATAGAGGATACTACTACAAATGCAAACAGCAGTGTTGTCTCATCAGACAAATGCACCATTTGGAAATAATGGAGAGGATTATCATCCAGTGGCAGTGGTAGCAGTGTCGGCAAATGATGAGGATCATCCAATGAACATTGTAGTGGCAAGTCTAAAGGATCACGTTTCATCTCTATCCTCAATGTTTACAACGACTACTACGACCATGATGCCCTCGACTCCTACAACGACTACCACAACTACCATAACAACATTGGAAACGACAACAACAACATCTGTCGATGATGATGCTGATGGCCAACTATGCACTGCTCCTCCAACTCTGCCCCCACCTCCGGCACCTCCACTCCCATATCAACGTTCATATTCTGCACCGACTGCAGGAGCAGCATTCACACCACATGTACATAATCATTGCGAAACAACCTTCGCATCACAATCGTCTGCTGACAATGGCCTGCTCGGCCTCGGACAAAACGTGTCAATGCTGCCAGAGCTGTGCGAACTGTTCTCCTCATTCCGACAATTCAAAGTAAACTTGGTGTCGGGTAAGAAAGAGGACGAGTTGTCCAAGTTCCAGAGTCAAGTCAACTCTCTGTTCAACAAGGATTACAACATCACCATCATCAACAATAGGAATGGTGAGTTCTGTGCCACCTACCCACCCGACCTCGTAGTTATAGAATCTGAGAAGAACCTAAAGTGCAAAGCATGTATAGAAAGGGACATCAAGAGAGGTAAGAATGAATGAATGAAAGAGATGAGGGTGGCAGAGGTGATGGCAAGGTTGAACAGTCCTCCCTAACATTCAAATGAATGGAATTAGTCAACAATCCATCAACTATTCAGAAGCTGTTGGCACAATCCAGGTTTGCACGAGTAAGGACACGCTTCCCTTTCCCAGTTATCTATTATCACAACAAGAACCTGTGTCGTTCATCCACACTATCAAAGAGGATTGAGTATATGCTACAAACTGGTGTAAACTCAATCAAGACTCAATTCAAGAAGTAATGATCACTTTTTAACTTCGGGGAGCGCAACAATGTCTAACAACATCCATCAACAATCACACAGTAGCAGCTCAAACATTGGCAACACAATGTCCAACTCGGTACAGTCGTCCGACGATATGGACCAAGGTGGTGATATGAACTATCAACAGGACATGGAAATGTTGCGAAACAATGACATCAACGCCATCAAGAACCTATCAGTCAAATACATCTTTGATCTGATGGTTGAGAACAAGAAGAAGAAGTATGATTGAATGGGAATGGATCGTGTCAATAGATGTCCACTAACACCAAACATATGACCTCATAGGTTCGGCATCTACGTCTGCTCATCGGAGAAGGCGGATGTCAATGACAGGTACTCGAAGCACTTTGTCATCGCCTCCACTCCATACCCTGGTGTGGAGTTCTTTACCCAGTTCAATCAGAACCAACACAATGCCAAGGATCTCATGTTTGATTGGGATTCCAACGAGCCGTCAGCCGAGCTCAAGATCGACAAGTCCTCCATCCCAGTCGTCTGGGAGGAGTACAAATCATGGGACCTCTGTATGTTATCGGATAGAGGGATAACAGTTGTCTCATATCAGTCCAGGTACTAACATTCAATCAATCAATCACATTCCATCAATAGTGTACCTGACTCAGAACTATCTGAAGCTGCTACTAGAGTACATATCGGACGACAGCAAGGACGCTGGTGTGCTGGTCCATTGCATCTCAGGATGGGACCGAACACCTCTATTTATATCACTTTTAAGATTGTCGTTGTGGGCTGATGGAGAGATCCATCAATCACTCAACGCATCTGAGATACTCTATCTCACAGTGGCCTATGATTGGTTCTTGTTCAGTCATCAACTATCTGATCGAGTTGCCAGGGGCCAGGACATCTTCTACTTCTGCTTCTACTTCCTGGAGTTTATCACCTCCTCGGAATACTCTGTACATCATTACTCATCACCAAAGAGGTCGAGAAACAATCAGCATCACTCGGGCAGTGTATCGACTGCTCAAGACATCCCCGCACCATCCAGTGGACAACATCATACCTCATCAACACTTGGCAAGCAAACACTGAATGTCTACAGCTCATGGAAGACCTCCATGATGCAGCATCCAGGCTCGTCGCCAACGACATCATTATCCAAGTCAGTGGACGTCTCCCAATCAGCACCATCCACTCCCAAGAAGGAATCGCCTGCCTCCTCACTGTTCAAACTACACTCACTCTTTTCAAACTACACATCAGCACCATCATCACCTCAACACTCACCATCATGTATCCCTCTGAAGCCTACCACCAGCTCGAGCTCACCACTGGAGGTGCCAGGCAATGGCTGCAACAGGATCAGGAGCAGACCTTCACCTTCAGAGTACCCCGCTACCAAGGACTGTGAGGAGCTTGGTGGCAGCTGGCAATTGATGGGCTCACTGCCCGACTACATGAAGTCTCTGTCCTCATTCACCTCCACTCCCAAGTGCCCTTCATCGGGTAGTGACGTAGAGGACATGAACCACGACGCCAAGGATCAGGGCGACGACGAGGTACTGGCGGAGCTGGACCAGAGTTGGGACCCTAACACAGGCTTCATCGTCGACCATAATCCATTGGGAGTGGCTGCGGCAACAGCGGCAGCGGAAGTGATGAACCAAGCACCGTCGACGGTCGTCTTGACCGAGCATGGTACGCCTGGAAACAACAAGCGTATCAAGCAACAGGATGGACATGGAGCGTTTGCCAACTCACGTGTCAGGGACGATGATCGCGACCCGATGTCCGGTCAAGAGGAGGAGCAGTTGCCCCACAAGCAACAGCACACCCATGTACACAACAACAACAGTGCCAACCTATCACAAGAGGAGCTCTCAGCCCGTCGTACCCAACGTTTACTCGAAGTCAAGAAGTTATTCATGGCCATCTATCAACAATTCTGTTCACAGTGTCCAAACGATAGCTATTGGAAGACAGTACTATCTTACCTTCCCAAATCACCTTGGTAATTGATCTAGATTGACCTTGATTGACCTTGATTGGTTGTTTGATCATTCATTCTTTCGTTCATTCGATCATTTCCATGGTGATGTCATTCACGCACTCACCTTCAACTATTAATAATAATGTAGTTAATGGATTATTACCACCTCTGTACATCATCTTGGTCATGATACCAAATACTTCTAATCTTGCCTACCCTTGCCCCAACCCTCGCCCTCGCCCTCGCCCTAACTCTTGTCAGTTTGGAGCCTGGGCTCACAAACAAAACAAAACAAAACTACCCTGGATGGAGGTTCACAAGTGTGTGAAAGGTTGGTTGTCAACACACATCAACAACAATCAACATCCATTCATTATCATTCATTCATTATTGAGGTAGACACAGACGACGACTCATTAACAATACCAATATTAGACTTACGATCAATCATTCAAATAACATAATATAACTTGAAGAGATAGAGACGGACACAGTTCATTTGATAATATAAATAGACAAAGACATAGAGATAGAGATTGAGAGATAGATAGAGATATATATAGATAATGAGGAGACAAGAATGTACGAAATGTGTAGTTGGCATTGTATTGGTGTGTAGTACGATGTTTGTAGTTGGAGTAATATTGCTGTCGTTGGGTATTGTAGCATATAGGTCAGAGCCACCACCTCCACCATACTTCTACAGCATACCTCTGTGTGGCTTTGGCAACAAGACAAAGGATACCAACACCTTTACCAAATGGTCGAGCTATGCACTCACCTTTGGCCAGCCCATCTGTCCCAAAACACCAGAGACTACCAACATCATCACCTTTAGCATACCAAAGAACGTCTTGGACGAGGGCATCATGTATCAGCCAGTAGTCTATCTTACAAACAATGGTAAGTCACATCAGTCAGTACGATACATCGGCGAACCAACTGACATGCTGACATAATCATACAACCATGTAGTTAAGGGAAACATTACATTCATGCATCACATCAAGGGTGGAGGCAAGACACATAGCGAGATGGCAACATTCAGTTCGTTGGCCAAGACAGAGTTTGCTTACTGCGGTGGCAAAACCATCCCTATCTACAGAGAGGCTCCATACAACAACACCATCGAGGATAAGACCGATGACTATGTTGAGGGCGAGGTACTCCCAGGGGTATGTTGTCGTTCACTCTCCCTTCCCCTTCATCATACCTTACTAACATCCCCTTCATCACATCCATCACACAGACTTTATGCAACAACACAATCAAAGGATGCCAATACGAGATTGAACGATCATTGAACTCCTATCAATTGGAGAACCCATATGATGTAAGTTGACTTGGCTGCTCTCTCCTGCGCTTCCACTCACTCATTCACTCATTCAATCAACCAATCAATCAATCAAACAATCAGGTGACAGCAATGTCTGACGAGGGATCTGACCTAACTGTTCAGGTATCACTGGAGTCAACAGAAAGATTGTCGACCATTGTCATACCAGACCTGTTCATTGAGTTCAAGGTGTCAGGACTGGGCGTTGCCCAGAAGAAGGGACTGGCACTGATGATAGTCGGTGGCATTATGGCCGACCTGATGCCCGCTGCCCTGTTCTTCTTGCTGCAACACTATTACTTTAGAAAGCCGTCGCCAATCAGTGACGACGTTCAAGGCATGATACCTCTAATGGAGATGTAAATTAAATACAAATGGAATCAAACCAAACCAAACCGACAATGGCGTCCATTGTCGACGCTTCATATTTATGCGAACAAATGAAGATGAGACGAGGGAAAATGCGACAAAACGGATTGTTTCGCCAACTTGCAAGATCATTGAATGATTGGCCAATCCTTGTATTGTACACGTACATGATGATGATGTTAACAAGGATACCAAGGTTACCAATATCATGTTGGAGAGGTGGTAGTAGTAATGCTACTCTACTTCTGCGGCAACATCACCAACAACTGGATAGACAACATCAATTCCAATCAATATCAACTTCGACTGTGACTACTCCACCATCGCCCTCGAATCATGTACATACTTCAACATCAACAACATCAACAACCTCATCATCACATATACAAGATATACAACAGATACAACAGATACAGACTGATGACCATCAGCAACAACTACTACCAGACATGATGATGTCAAGACATTCATTCATGCACTATCCAACTTACATTAACATTAGGAATGCAGTCAATCCCTTGCTACTCGACTACAATGACTGGACAATAGACTTTGATCTTGACATCAAGATGAGTCCAAAGGACAAGTATGATTTACTGATTGATTGAATATTAAGTAAGATCACTCACTCATTCAATCAACTCAATCAACTCAATCACTCAATCAAAGGATCATGGCAATCATTGATGATCAAAGACATGATATTATAGAGAAGTGTTGTTATGTACTGTGCACGATGAGGTGTCGTGATAGGTTGGCTTGGCTGGACAATGAGGTCGAGACTTGTGGATTGGAGTCTGGTCAAGTGGACAGAATATTGGTGTTCGCCTTGCTATACGCGATCAATGGTCAGCATATGGAGACGCGTAAGCTACTTGTTAGAGCCGGCTTGAACCGAAGAGACAGCTCGCCACTGCACGTCTTGATGCAGATCGTTGAGTTTGCGGGCCGTCTCGATCATTCACTGGCAACCGCAGCCAGCGACATTGAAGAGGGCGACGATGAACAGTCAGGCTTGTTGAGCGAAAAGGAGCAGAGGTCGCTGAGCGGCCTTTTCAAGACGCTGCCCAAGCACAGCCGCATACTGCTCCTCCAGATGTACTCACTCAAGCCACATGTGTTGGTCGATTGGGTTAATAGCCTCGACCCCAAGCTGCAGGAGATGCTTGGGTTGACCGAGGACTTCTTTGTGAACGCCATATACATGACCATCCCCAACTTTCCCATTGCCACGCTTCAATGGCTGCATGTGATGGTCGCTCAAGGACGTCTCAAACCTACAACATTGAACAACTTCTTCATTGATGTGCAGAGTGCGATTGTGGCCAGCGACATTGAACTACGGACAATCTTTGACGCCTTGCTCTCGATAAGGCGCTCGCTAATGGGCAAGCTTGCCCCGGGCCGGACGGCCGTGGACGCACCGACCCTTACAGACATGGTCATGCGCACGATAAATGGCAAGACACTGTCGAAGGATGACTACACATTCCTCCTGGACGTGGTGCAGCGCGAGCTCACAGACGACACCGAGGTGCAAGCTATCTACCACGCAATGTTCACTGCTGTACTACGCAGCAGACATCACTTTCACAACAGACTTGGACTACACAATCGATTGCTAGCGATACTTCACAGAAGCAACAGTCTGGAACATGCCAAGTCTATTCTGGAATACATATGCTCGCAGCCAATGCTACATGATAGGGCCAACTTATTGGCCACTGAGGTCCTGGAGTCACTACTGAGGCCTGATGCACAGTCCAACACTTCTCGTCATCTCAATGTTAGCACTCTTCAATCACTGGCCGAGTCAATTACTCTGACACACTTGCGATGCCCACTCATACGTCGGTATGCTTTGCAACTGGATCACGCAACGACACAGCAACAGCCAGACTTTTATCAACTGTTTGTCAATGTTATTGCTTATGACCTGCGCACAAGCGACGAGGTGGTCCGTGAGCTACTGGACAAAGGCCTCCGCCCTACACCAAACATGCTCTCGCATCTGATCAAACAGACTCCAAACGCACCCTGGCACGACATTAGCCAGAGGTACAATCTCGATATCAAATCCAGTCACTTCATCCCTGCCATGAAGAAGACGGGCAATATGGGCCTGGTCCAGGGCCAAGGCCATGCGCAAGAGATTGATGGCCGCACATTCACATTCATACTTTGCAAGCATATTAGGAATGGCGATCTTGAGATGGTGCAGAAACAACTGGACGGTGAGTACCCGGCCGACTTGAAGCTGATTGATATCATACACGTCATGGAGAAGTACCCCTCACTGCCACTCACCAAGGACAACCTGAGACGACTGCTCGAGGATGATCATCTGTCCAAACACGACTACCCCATGCAAGTGATGCTTGCATCGGCCACGAATAATGGACACCTGCCCATCGCGCTGGGCATACTCAAGAAGCTGCGCAATACAATGCCGCCACACATCATCGATCAGTTCACCGCCAACTTGATTGTGGCTGCAGCCGAGACTGATGCCGACCTCCTCTTCTCACTGATGGGCTCAGACGAGTGCGATCTAAAGAAGCCCATACTTCGCCACGCTGCATTGTTTGCCGCGTCACGTGCACCCGCTGCCAACATACGACAAAGGCTGCCCCATCTTGCGACACTGCTGTCTGGCGCGGCGCGAGTCACCAATGAAGAGTTGTCATTTGTTGCCATGCGACTTGGTGACGCTTCGACAATTGCGAGATTGTTTGAAGGTGCAGAGCTATCTACACTGGCCACCTATAACGTATTGATTGGCCTGTTGTCAACCAGACCCATCAACTACGACGACCCCATGCTCAATCAATGGCTGGCAACCTTTATCAAGAAGAAGCCAACAATCACTATGATGGAAGGTGTGTTCCTGCGAATGGATCGGAAACTTATTGAGCCACATGGCACTAGCAACACCTTGGCACTGGACGATCTGATGCAACATGCTGGCACGCTTTTGTTTGGACGCGAGGAGGATGATGGATTGGTCGAGTTCAATCGACGTCTGCTCTCGAACAACACCATCCCAATGTGGTGCTGCATGTACGCTATCAAACAGGGATCGTACGACGTGGCGATACGTGTGGCGCTCGAGATGGTGGACATGGTGGACAAGGAGCGCGTTCTCACCCAGGTCAAGGAAGCAATGTCTGACCTCAGCAACAGCAACGTCTGGATGTCCACCTTGCTGGGCACACTTAGCACGTCGACCAGATTCAAACAAAAGGACTTTGAGCGATACTACTTTAGCATGGCATCGCTCCAACCAATTGATGCGCTCAATATGTATGATGTGCTGGAGGAAGGCGGTGGCGGCATGTTTGTCAAGACCAACACAATCATCAAGGCGTATCACATCGCGTTGGCTCAGGTGGGCTCGTTTGACAATCAATGTCTGCCGACAAAGGAACGCTCTGCCATGTACTATGTGGCCGATGTGATCAATCGATACATTGGTGGCGTGCTCACGCCAGCAATGTTGACAGAGATCACGCGCGATATGGCCAAACACGACCACGTGTTCACAAAGAGTCACTACCAGCTGATGTTGGTGATCATGTCGCGACACAAACAGCACTCGCTACTCGATCTGCTTGAGCACATGATTGCAGAGTCGTGCATCGACTTCTCGAACGACCGCGTGGCATTGGACTGCATATGTGCCTCATCCAAGAAGTACCTGTCCATACTCCAATCGCGTCTATTCAATGGTGAAAAGCAATTGGTCACGTACAGGTTGTTGAACAGGATCATCGACGAAGCCAGCAACAATGGCGACCCGATGACCATGTCCGCATTGCACACCGCCCTCCTCTACAAGTTCCCAACGATGTACGATAGTGCCAGAGACTTCCACGACATTGTCACCAGGACAACTGAGCGACAACTCAACTTTAATGTTTGGTCCAACCATCATCAACATCATCAGAATCAACAACAGACTAAGGTAGTAAGGTCGCGAGGTAGCAATAACAAGTGATCCATTGAGTGATCGTTCTGAACATCCATAAAGTCAACCATCAGTCAAGACACAAACATACATCAGTGATCACGAATACTCTGTTGACTAATCCTTTGCATGATTCCCCCCCAGTGCGTGTCCTATTATTGGTCACGATCACTTCCCAAGCCATATCAGATGATGGCGACTCTTGACGAATGATGAAGTGAGACATCAAAGTCAGATTTTTTCAATTTGGAATGCCGAACGTGTGTCTTCAACGACTACCCAAATCCCAAGTCGAGTAATCGGCCATTGGGCCATCATGGTGTACGTGTGTGAATGAGACATTACTTCCTAATCCGAACATACAAAGGAAGAAATTTGGGCCATTGGGCTATCATCGTGATCTATTTGTAATGTGGGTGGTGCTGTATGTTTTTAACTTATCATGGGATGGGGATGGGAAAGGGGAAGTTGTTGTTGTTGTGTTTGTTGTTATTCATTCAATTTCAACTTTAGTTGGTTAGTTAGTAACTTGTTGTTGTAGTTGAACTTGGTCTACATTCATTCATTCATACATATACATACACACATATATATACACTATACATAATATACAGATAATAACTATCTCAAATCACAATCACTCTGACATTGAGTGACCCAAACTAATTATTACACAACAGTATACGCACTCTTCCAATCAATATTATTTATATATTATACACATTCTAGACACATAAAGATGATTAAACAATCGATTAGATTAGTCAATAATGTCTCAAACATCTCAAAGAATACACTGAGGTGTTATTCAACAACTCCTAGAAGAGTCTATGTTACAGCAAACAGCATTATGTATGTATAAAGTGTCAGTCATTCATTCACTTTGTCAGTCAATCAATCAATCCTTTTGTGAATGTCGGAACCATATTTCTCAAATATCAATATGGCCGATATTTCTTACAACTACAAGTACAACTACAACATCCACATGGCGAGTCAAGCATAATATCAACTTCAACTTCGATTGAGTTAGAAGTAGTAGTACATTCAATCGCGATTAATGACCTCATCATTGCCTGCCACTCGCACACACTTTCAACGGGAGAAACCCCCCAAATTGTGTGAAATGGTGCGAATGAAGGGGTGTTGTTGGTGGCTGTCAGGCAAAGTGCGTTAGAGAGATGGATGGATGTGTGTGAGAGTGTGTATGAGTCTATTCATCCAAACAACACAACACAACAGCATCAATATCCTCAACAACAACTACAACAACACATCCACATCATCACCTACCTTACATTATTCATTCATTCTATCTCATTGTAATACATATAAATATACAATCCAACAACAATATACTAATATAACACTACTACTTTATACTCATACATTGGTTGTTATCCAAACATTACAATTACAATTACCAATTGGAATTGGTGACAAACAATATTAATAATAATATCAACTCTTTTTTGGAATATTTAGAACTGATCCAATTATTAACAATGCAAGAAACTTTGGAGTATCGACACCATCAATGAATATATTCGGACCATTCCCAGATTATGTGAAGATTGTAGAGGTCGGACCAAGGGATGGTCTGCAGAACGAGAAACAGATAGTGCCCACCGACGTTAAAATCGAACTGATCAACCGACTGTCCGCCACCGGTCTGTCGGTGGTCGAGGCCACATCATTCGTCTCACCAAAATGGATTCCGCAGATGGCAGACAGCAACGAAGTGTACAGAGGAATCAACAAGGCGACGGGCGTATCATACCCGACGTTGACGCCCAACTTGCAGGGCTTCCGCTCGGCCCTCAACGCCGGCGTCAAGGAGGTGGCAGTGTTTGCCGCCGCTTCCGAGACCTTTTCAAAGAAGAACATCAACGCAACGATCGACGAGAGTCTGGCGCGATACAAGGATGTGTGTCAGGAGGCGATCAACAATGGTATCAAGGTTAGAGGATACGTCTCATGCGCCATGGGCTGCCCATACGAGGGCCGCGTCTCCAACGCCAAGGTCGTCGAGGTTTCCAAACGTCTTTTCGACTATGGCTGCTACGAAATATCTCTGGGAGACACGATTGGCATTGGCACGCCAGGCGCCACATTCAAACTGCTGTCAGCCGTCTCCAAGGAGATCCCAATGGGCGCGATTGCCGTCCACTTCCACGACACCTATGGACAGGCGCTGGCCAACATTCTGACCGCACTGCAGTTTGGTGTCAACGTTGTCGACAGCTCCGTTGCCGGACTGGGAGGCTGTCCATACGCCGCTGGCGCCTCTGGCAACGTCGCCACCGAGGACGTCTTGTATATGATGAAGGATTTAGGTATCGATTGTAAAGTAGACTTGGACAAGATATTGGACACCAGTCTGTGGATATCTAGGATATTGAACAAGACTCCCAGTTCCAAGGTATCTCTGGCTCTCTCACATAAGAAGGACAGGATGATAACTTCATCATCCACTGCAACGCACTGTGTTTAAATAGCCTTGACCTGATCGATCATTATATATTATATATTATATAAATTAATTAATTTACATTACTCTCTTTTGAAGTATATTAATCGACGATTCCAACATCGAGGGAAGGGAAAGAAAAGGAAGGGAAGGGAAGGGAGTTGACCATTCCTTCATCCATGAAATTCCAGAATGGTCGTTTCATTTTTTCCAAAAGTGATCGATCAAATTATCGAACCCATCAGTGTCGGTTCCATTTTCCATTCGTTATTCCTTGGAATATAATGTAATAACTTCCCAAAGATTGACACTTTATCGATCTTACATGCACCTCAATCTAGAATGGAAGATGAACATGTATAAATATATCACTAATGATGATCAGTCATTCATTCAAACAATCAAACAATCAATCAATCAAACAATCAATCATTCAAGCAAGTATAACTTAACATCTAATAATGTCTAACCCAACCCTTTACTATGTATGTACCCATCAACAATCATTCTCTCGTTCGCAAACTAGATACTAACTATCAAATCTAGTTTGATGCTCGTGCTCGTGCTGAGACTTCAAGACTACTCTTTGTTTACGCTGGCGCAAAGTTCAATGATAATAGATCTGGATTCCCATTGGCTGAGGATGTTCGTTCAAAGACACCCTTCGGTCAGGTGCCATTCCTAGAGGATGGTGACACCCAACTTGCTCAATCAATCGCAATCGAGAGCTACCTTGCCGAGAAGTTCAAACTTAATGGTACCACACTAACTGAGCGTGCCCAGGTCCTTCAGTTTGCCCTGGTGCCAGGTGACTTTTACGCACCATACTTTGCCGCCAAGGATGACGCTGCCAACCTAAAGTTCAAGGAGGAGACTGCCCCTAAGCTGTTCAAGAAGTTGGAGGACATCTTGTTTAAGAAGGGTGGTCAGCACTTTGTCGGAAACACATTGACCTGGGCTGACATTAGCATTTTCAATCTTATCGATTTCTTCCATCAACAACACAGCAACCTTGTCGAAGCTGTGCAGCCATTCCCAACACTCTTGGCATTCCACAAACAAGTGGCAGCCATTCCTCAGTTTGCCGAGTATCTTAAGAACAGGCCAACAACAAGATTGTAAAAAATAATAATAATGATAATATAATAAATAATTAATACACTTAGGATTTGTAAAGTACTTGACAAAGTAATAATATTACTCAAAGTGCCAAAGTATTTGATAAATTATTCATTGATGAGAGACAAAGTAATCTTGGGACAGTCCAAGACGAACCCGAAGTTTTCGTTTGATGGACTGATATGAGGGTGATGAGTTGGACATATTCTAATCATTGACAGAGACAGTACTATACGACAAAGTTATAACATTTGTTTACACATGTGACTCTCAACCTTTGACAGATAAGACCTCGAGCATGGCAAAAAGAATGCAAAAATCACCAACAACGACAACAACACCATTTACAACATCCACAACACCAACTACAACACCAACTACTACAACAACTACTACAACAACAATAATATTTAAATGTCAACATGATGGTTGTAACAAAAAATATGGTTATGAATAGAATAGAAGTAGACATAATGTAAAAGAACATGGTAGTAAATGTACAGTTTATTGCCAATACTGTGGTGCTCGCCGATCCGGGTGAGTCAGTCAAACCTGAATTAACCTCTCTCAACCCCAATTGGGGTTGGTGAGGTTGATCGGGGTGGGTCTATTTGGCAATCTAAGAGAGATAGAGGTTGTTTGTGATGTATTTTCAACAGATTAGTAACTTTATAGAGATAAATGAATATTTACTGTATTAATAAATATACCAAAAAATAGTATAAGAGTCAACAATATGAATGATATAAACATTAGGAAAGAATGCCTACGACAGTTACCCGATATGCAATGGTTGGGAAGTGATCAAGTTGCGTAAAGTGTTTCTCGTCAAAGCAACAGGAGAGAATAGCACTGACACAGACAAACCATTCAACTGTATTTTCTGTAGCGAGCCTTTAAAAGGCGATACAAGCCAACACATACTTCGTCATCTCGATTCAGAACGTTGCAAGAAAGCCCGCGCTACCTACAACAAAGTAGATATCAGGGAAGCTGATTACTACTGTTGCAGATACTTGGTATTCGCCAATCACCCAATGAACACTCTCCGACATGACGCATTCGTTGAGTTTCTTGGGAAGCTCAATTATAAACCGCCATCAACATATTACTTCAAAGAGACGTTCTTGCCAACAATAATGCAAGAGTTGACTGATCTCCTGAAGAGTAAGTTCTAGCAGCACAGTATCTTTGTTTATAATAACACTAACTTACTCACTCAATCACACTGTGATCAATCAATCAATCAATCAATCAATCAATCAATCAATCAAAACAATCAATCAACACAAAGGTATCCTATCTCAAGCTCAATCAGTAGCTATTACTACTGATGGGTGGACTGACAATCAGAATGATAAGTTCACTACTATTACTGCACATTGCATCACCATGCCATTCAAATATCAGTCTATGGTCCTTGACTTCATTCCTCTTAATGAGAGTGATACATCTGTCAATCTCTCCAAAGTACTGATGGAGTGCCTCAACAAGTGGGGCATTTCTGACAAGGTTGTAGGAGCTGTGACAGACAATGCACACAATGCCACCAAATCAATTGCCCTCTCTGACAACATCCCATCATACAGATGTCTGTCGCATACAATCCAACTCATGGTGGGCGATTGTATTAACATTGGTAAACCTCCATCCATGGATGAGGTCCACATTACATTCGACAGTACCCTCACCAATGCAAGCAGCGGTGGACCAACTGGCTCTTCAACTTTTTTTTTCAGTTACTTCCTACAATTAGATATCGATGAGACAAGTACCTTACACACATCAA